ATCTCTCCATCAGTGTATGAACCCACCGTTCTCTTTTATACTTGCTCCACTGAATTCAACATAACCACCATGTCCAACCATTTGAAGAAATCTCTGTCAGATGTCTTAACCCATTACTACCCTTTTGCTGGGAGAATCAATGGCAAGAATTTCATAGATTGCAATGACGAGGGCATCCCTTACTTCCAAGCAAAAGTGAAGTGTAAACTTGTCGATGTTATTCATAAACCAGTTCCAGGAGAACTCAACCATTTGGTTCCATTTCAACTAGATGATATCACCGATATCCTATTTAGTGTTCAATTCAATGTTTTTGAATGTGGTGGTATTGCAATCGGTGTTTGCCTTTCTCACCAGATTGCTGATGGTTTATCATTTTTCACCTTCATAAATAATTGGGCAGCCATTGCTAATGGATCACAAGATGTGTTGCCAAATCCACAATTTGTTTCAGCTAAGCTCTTCCCACCCAAAAATACAACTGGATTTGATCCTCGAAGTGGTATCATAAAGGACAACATCATATGCAAGATGTTTGTGTTTGATGCTTCCGTTGTTGAAAATTTAAGGGGAAGATATGGTGATACAACAAGCTTCGAAAACGAGAAGCCCCCAACTCGAGTGGAGGCATTATCTGCTTTCATTTGGAGTCGTTATGTGGCTGTGACTAGAGACCAATCAAGTCCACAGAGAACACATGCTGTGGTTCACGCTGTGAACCTTCGTCCAAAGATGGAACCACCATTGCCTCCAGAGTCCTTTGGAAACTACTCTCGATTTACTTTGACAATTCCAACGTTGAACACTGAAGAGGAGTGTCACGGGCTAGTGAAAGAGGTAAGGGATCAGATAAAGAAGTTTGACAAGGATTATGTTAGAAAACTTCAAGAGGGAAACGAGCATTTGGATTTCCTTAAGGATAATTCATATAGAGTGCTTGTGAAGGGGGACTTAGTGGCGTTTAATTTCACCAGTTTGTGTAGGTTTCCTTTGTATGACGCTGATTTTGGTTGGGGGAAACCAACATGGGTCGGTGTACCTTCTTTAAAGTTTAAAAATCTGGTTGTGTTCGTCGACACCAAGACCGGTGGTGGCATAGAGACTTACGTTAGCTTGAAGGTGGAGGATATGGTCAAATTCGAAGAAGACGAGGAGTTTCTTGCTTGTGTGAACACATCTCGGAGTTGTTGATGCATGCATGCTATCTAATTAATAATTAGGTGACATCAACAATAAGTTGTAAAATAAGGCGCAGAGCAAAAGAATAATCTTCTTCCTATTATGGAGTTTCTAGTACTTGTACTTGTTCTTTCTTTTTTTTGGTAAACACTTGTACTTTTTAAAATACGCGTTCCGATGAATTTGTTTTTATTACTTTGACTTTTTTGCTTCCAACAAGTAGATGGAAATCGTGGATGTTCTGTGAGCCTCGTGATATCTAAAGTCGTGATATCTCAATCGATCATTAGTGTTAGAATTCAATGGATGAAACGACACGACACCAATAATTGACACAAAATTCGCATTAGATGCCGGATTTCTAAGATAATCCTTCCCCACGTCTCAACTCGTTGATACTATGCCCCTACGAGAAGTAATATACAGCTTATTTTATAAATAAAAAAATAAAAAATTAAGGTGCTTGATTGTATGCTTGGTAAAGTCAAGAGATATATAATCCATCAAAATCAATAAAGATTTGCAACGGGAGTATAAATTAGTCATTAGTAAAAGATTCCTTGGCGCGCGCACATATGTATACGAGGATCGGGAAGGATTATATTTATAAATTTTTTATTTACAAACTCTTACAAATTATACTATGTTCTTTAAGGAGAATATTACACTATGTTCTTCTGGAAATATATAGTATAATTTACAAAAATTTATAAAAAAAAATTGTAAACGAATCTTTCCCCTTTATATATATATGATTTCTAAGATAATCCTTCCCCATGTCTCAACTCGTTGATACCGCCGCCCCTACAAGAAGTAATATACAGCTTATTTTATAAAAAAATTAAGGTGCTTGATGATTGTATGCTTGGTAAAGTCAAGATATATAATCCATCAAAATCAATAAAAGATTTGCAACGGGAGTATAAATTACTCATTAGTAAAATATCCCTTAGTATTTGATTGTTGCACCTATATAGCAGCTGCAAAAATGTAAACTCCATATATATATGGATTAAATACGAGAAATAATAACCATACAAAGGATGCAAGCATTAAATATGAGGAATCTTGTTATCAAAAAATAAATAAATATGAGGAATCATAACCATACACCTGTCGTTGTTGTACGTAAAGCGGCTGCAAAAATGATTTTACCTATATATATATATAGAAAATATTATATTTACAAATTTTTTGTTTACAAACTACACTATGTCTGAGCGGTCATACTTCAATCAAGAGTGTATGACTGGTCATACTTGATGTAATGTAAAAAAAAGTTTGTAAACGAATCATTCCTCTCTCTCTCTATATATATATATATATATATATATATATATATATATATATATATATATATATATATGAGAAAAATATTTCTCAAGCAGTTTGAGATATTTTATCTACGTCCACCTCAAAACTAAATCATTTTATTTATTTCCTTATATTAATTGATTTACTTTTAAATGTTATGATTCCATTTTTCTCTCTCATCCATTATCACCATTGATTTATCTTTATACGGTTATAATTTAGTAGCTGGAGATAAAATTGTCTAGCTTAAGAAACGATAATATATATATATATATATATATATATATATATATATATATATATATATATGTATATATATATATAGCAGGTGGTCATGATTTTTACTGTAAACTACTTAGGGCTTTATTTTGATTTAGCTCGTATAATTTTTTATCATTATTTATATTTGACTTATTTTGATTTTTTTTAATTATAGGTAAGAAACAAATCTTTAAATTTCCCCTTGCTTGAGTTTTATATTTATATCTTTTACTTATTGAAATATTAATGCTTTTATTTTTTATGACGAAAGAATAGTTTTTATAATTTTCGCACGTTAAAATATCGGTCCCTTTACTAATAAAAACTGCTTTTGACATTAAAACCTTAGATGTGAATACAAATGTATTTTTCATAAATTGATTGTCCAAAATATTAAGTAAAACTTATTTATCTCAGTTGAAGTTTAGGTAGGATATGGTAGATATTCTTATTACCAAATGTTTCTATTACCAATCAAATATAACTATGTACTACTAGTAGTATATCAAAAGTTTTTTTTTCTCTCTCTTCAATTTTTTTTCAGAGATTGTCTGCTGAAAAGTGGAACCCATGCAATAGCTAAAAAGTGATAGTAAATTAGTAATATGAATATTTGGTAGTAAGAATATCATACTTCATCTCAATTATGTTTTTTATTATTTAAGTTTTGATTTTGAAATGAACAATGTGAAACACATTTAAATTTAATTAAATATAAATCAACCCTTTATGGCAAAGAAAAAAATAAATAGATGATAAGCTTACACTTTACACATGGCTATGATCTTTGTTTTGGCTTAGCTCCACAGGCCCAATATATTGGGGCAAGTAATAAAGGCCCAATAAAAGGACTTTCTAGATAGTATCCCATGATAAGCAATAGAGTTTAGTTATAGGGTATTTTCTTTTTTTTTTTTTTCTTTTTTTTTTTTTGGTAATCAAAAGGGGCAGAGCCCCAGAAACAAAAAAAAAAAAGAAGAAGAAAACTACAAAACAGGAAACTAAATCAAACTACAAACAAAAAGACAAAACAGAAAACTAAAAAAATAGCCTCCTAGGAAAGCTAGCAAAAGTGACCAGGATCCAGAATGACAGCAGCAAGGAGGTTGATAAGATCATTGTGAGGAGATGAAATTGGGTTACGACCCGGGATCATTCAAAGCCTTTTTCGCAATCTAATCCGCACAAGAGTTACACTTCCTCAGGATCCCAATTAGATGAATAGTCCAATCCTTTTGAAGAAAAACTTGAATCTTAGCTACAATAGATAGCTTTCGAGAATCAACACCATCAGAGGTAAGAAGGCTTAAAGCTTGAGAGGAGTCCGATTCCAAAATAAGAGGTTTCCAACCATGATTCCAGACAAAAGCAAGACCATGATAAACAGCCCAAAGTTTCGCGATTAAAGGAGAGTAGAAGCCTATAAAAGCTGAGAAGCCACCAATCCAAGAGCCACAACAGTCCCTTATAAGGCCTCCACAAGCAGCCTTGTCCCCAGCTACAGCACCATCAACATTCAGTTTGAGAAAACCTTGAGTGGGAGCTAACCACATTGAGGGAGAGTGTGAGGAAGGGTTACTAGGAGAGCCTTTTAAAATCCTACTTTTGCAAAACCAGATTTCCTCAATAAGATCAGCTAAGACAGAAGATGGATCCTCTGGTCTCTTGAAGTTATCTTCATGCATTTCTTTGTTCCTCCATAACCACAGGGAATTACAAACAGTGAAGAAAGAGTCCCTCCAATCCTTTGCATTCTGGTTATAGGGTATTTTCTTCTCCAGCTCAGTATTGTACACACAAGATGGTGAGGTTGCACAGCTCACCATCGTACACACAAGATGATAAAGAAATATCAATCTACGATAGTGGAGACAAGGCTAACGATTTTGACTTACATTTTTTCCTTATCTATCGTCACTAAGAAATATTCATTCCCCTAAATTCTACTTCTCCAATAAAGAAGGCACCTAATTTCCATAACATTTATGAGTTGTTACTGTTTCATTCCCCTATAGATAATTTTTTAAAATTAAATAAGTAAATTCAAACATCCATTAAACCTATTTTTTTAATTCCACTTTGTGTTCACGGATCCTAGTCCGAATCAATAATTGCACGCCATGATGATCTACACTATTTTGGCGTGTGTATATATAGTGCAAATGCATATGAATTGTTTCTGCAAACCACGACCAAATCAAACACGAGACATCAGTTATTAGCACAAGCTAAGAGGAACTAAGAGGATGAAGGTTGAAGTTGAATTAATCTCCAAACAAGTCATAAAACCCTCTTCTCCCACACCCAATCATCTTCGCCATTACAAGCTCTCCTTGCTCGACCAGCTCACTCCTCAACTCAACAACTCCATGGTTTACTTCTACGCTCATGAATCCATGAGCATCACCGACGACCCTTCGAACCACCTTAAGAAATCGCTGTCTCAAGCCTTGTCATATTACTACCCACTCGCAGGAAGACACGTGGACAACACTTTTGTAGAGTGCAACGACGAGGGTGTCCCTTACTTGGAAGCTAAAGTCAGTTATTGCAAGCTCAACGATGTGTTGGAGAATCCTATACCAAGCGAGGTTAGTAAGTTGCTTCCATTTGCAATGGATGAGATTGTTGACACACTCCTTGGTGTTCAACTCAATGTTTTTGATTGTGGTGGAATAGCCATTGGTATATGCATGTCCCACAAGATAGGTGATGCACTTTCCTTTTTTGGGTTCATTCAAAGTTGGACAACTATTGCTCGTGGAGAAGCACGTGATCATGAAGGAATCAAGACACGTTTCATATCTGCAACCTTATTTCCCCCAAGGGATATGTCGTGGTATGATCCAAACAAAATCATCCCAAAAGATGAGAACATCGTGTCTAAGAGATTTGTGTTTGATGCAACTGTCATAGATGCTCTCAAAGCAAAATATGAAGACATGATGGCTTTGCAAAAAACCCCTTCAAGAGTTGAGGTTCTATCAACTTTCATATGGACTCGCTTTATGGCCACTACTCAGGTCGCTTCTAAGGGGCACAGATCCTATGTTGTGGCTCACACAGTGAACCTGCGTTCGAGAATGGACCCACCATTACCAGCTTACGCGTTTGGAAATTACTATCGAGCTGCTACAATGTTTCCATTGTTGGATTATAAGGGGGAGTGTTGCGATCTGGTGAGGAACCTTAGAGTGGAAATAAAGAAAATAGACAATGATTATATACTCAAACTTCAAGAGGGTATTGAATACTTGAACTCTCTTAGAGAAGATTTTAAAAGATTGGCGAAGAATGAGGAGAAGGAGATTGTGCCGTTTACCTTCACTGCTTTGTGCAGGTTTCCTGTTTATGATGCTGATTTTGGTTGGGGGAAGCCAACCTGGGTAGGGCCACCCGCATGGAAAGTGAAAAATGTTGCTATTTTTATAGATACCAAGTTAGGTGGTGGCATTGAAGCATATATAAGCATGACAGAGGAGGATATGGTTGAATTTCAAAATGACAAGGAATTGCTCGCACATATTTCAAAATGACTCTTAGGTATGGCTCATACTTTGCACATGCTGACGAGGGCCCTAGTTGTCGGATCAGCAGAAAAGCAACTAGGTGAACCAAGACAAATCTCTGTGTCTATTCTTTTTCTTTCTCTTTTCGTTTTCGATTTGTGTGATTGTCAATTTCCAACAATGACACATAGGAAAGTCTTATGTACTTAATTTGTAATTTATCATCCTGTCCTAATTTCTAAATATGTCTTTGTTATCGATAAAATTTCTCAAGATTTCATCTATCTTGAGCCGTGATATGCAAAGGAAATGTTTGGATGTTTCTTTCTTTCTTTATTTATTTTTTGTGTTCTTTGTTGAGTCAGTTAAGTCAACTAGTGCATCACGAAAATTCAGTTTTCTGATAAGTAAGCTTTGCTTCTCAGAGTTGAGAACATTCTTAAAATCTGTCAATGCTCCGTAAGGAGGAGTAATTACTGAATTACCATTCATTGTTGAGTTGAACATTAAAGGAATTTTACTTCCACGACCAGAACAGAACAGAAACCAAGCCAAAGGATACTAAGCTGAACTGAGAAGAGCATGAGTACTAAGGAAAGAGTTGAAATTTGTGGTCTCCTCTTAGCATTTAAGTCTCCGATTAATGGGAGTAAAGTGATATCAAGAAGAGGACACTAAAGTAGTATTTGTTCATTAACATGGTACAATAAGGGGACACAAATGTTGAAATAGTGAAGTAATTAGAATAAGTGAGAATTTGCTGTGTTAAGGGGAGATAGAAGAATGAAGAATCCGAGGTGAAAAATGAAAAGACATTTTTTTATTCTTGTTGAAGCCAAGGAAATGAACCATGAAAGGGCTACCTGATATTCCATTTTTTTGAGTGGTCCTCTTGTCTCGTGAAATTTTAGAGGAAAAAAAAATAGAATAGTTAATAAATTGACTCTTCTCGTAAAATAAATTTCATATAATATAAATTATCCTTATTATAATTAAATTAATGCATCCTCATTTTTATTTTAGAAACTACATTAATAAAATTTTATAAGTTTGGCTTACCGAAATAGAAGATTTTAAATTATTGTATTTTAATTAAATCTTTGGAAACATATTTTGGTGAAGAGTAGTGAATTAATTAATAAGATAAAACTTTAATTAATAAGATAAAACTAAATCAATATAGAAAGTATTTAATTCGATTTATGCTGATATTTTATAATGAATACACGTTTACTAATTATAATATATCTTACATTATTTTTTATACAATTTATCTATTTTAAAAATGTTGTTGGTAAAAAGTCTTGTTAACATAGTTATAGTTGTCAATTTCAATTCATTTCAAAAGACCATTATCTAATTAAATTTGATAAAATAAAAAAAGAGGTGAATGTAATTTTGAAATAATGGAAAATCCAATTATAAATTTAAAAATAGTTATGCTTAAATATTTAAAAAATATCATGACCTACCATGGTATGTGTCCTTTCTTTTATCAATTTCAATTTTTTTTAAAAAAATTAAGCTGATTTTTGCAAGAAATTTCATATTATTTCATTGATAAGGCTTAATAGTATGCCGGCATATACCTTCCTTTCATCCACAAATCGCAATCATGGGTTTGGTGTTTGTCATTTTAAATGACATAAGTTATGTCATTTTAGGAGAGAGATAGACACAGAAAAACGAAAATCATGGGAGAGAGAAAGTGAGTGATTTTTTTTAATTTAAAATTCAAATTTTCTGTATCTGTATCTCTCTTAAAATGACATAACTTTCTGTCATTTTAAGTGACAAACACTTTTCCCCGCAATTATATATGATAATATATCCATTCATTTTGTTTGCAAAGACTTTGAAATCCCAGCCACAGATCGGCGGGGAAAAATGATTGTAATTGCCAAAGGTGAGATGAATATAGCTGTCAAAATGGGCTATCTTCGCGTTCGCGGTCTGGATTGGATCGATTTTAAAAGTAAAAATCATCTGATTCAATTCCTTCGGTTTAATCATGTAATCATTCATTTGGTTTAGATTTTTTTTCAAATCTGATCCAATCCAATTCAATTTTATTCGGTTTGGATTGGATCGGTTTTCGGTTTTTTGAAAAGTCTATGATTTGTATGGTGATTAATGTGCAAATAACATATCTTTTGTATGTATCGACTTTATAAAGTTTGTATGATGATTATTGTGCAATCTAAAAGCATTGTACAACAAAAAGATGAATTATCATCTCTTACCTCCAACAATAACCCATGTAATAAAATTATATTATGTATCTTACCAAACAAAAGAAGCATAACATAGATCAAGCACAATCCACTTTCTCCAACATGATGGGTTAATGAGTCTTGGATTAAGAATTTTTCTATATGATTTTTGGACTACGATTTGGGAAAGGCCCTAGTAAGTAGATGGTAAGGTTGGAAAATTATTGGATCGGTTGGGATTGGATCGGTTTTCACCTACCAATCCAAACCAATTAAATTTTGCGATTTTTTTCGATTTTCAGTTAATTCGGTTATCGGTTTTTCACCGCGGCTTTAATTGGTTTGGATCGATTGATGAACACCCCTAATCCATCCTATTTGATTCTAGTCAGTGTGGGTTAAGGTCAAAAAGCCTGAGGCCAAATGAACCTCAATAATCAAGGTTCGCACGGGTCAAAAGCCCTATTGGTTATAGCCAACCCGCAGGCCATCCAAAATTATAATTTCATAATTTTTTTTATTATATTCAATACATTAAAAAATATTTTATCAACTAAATTTTTAATACTTTCTTAACATATTTTATACAAATTATCAATTTTTTATAATTTAATTTTTTTTAATAAATAATATTTGTACATAGATATACAAGTGAAAATGTAAACAAAATTTTAATATAAGTGAAAATTTAGTTATTTCTTTTGCTAAATTCATTATTAAACGATGCTGTAAGAACCCGCACTGTTAATTAAGGAAATTAATTAATTAATTATGTGAAATTAGGAAATAATTTCATAATTGACCCTAATAATTATTATGAGGCTCTAATAATTATAGTAAGTGATTAAGAATGCTGAAAGTCGCTTTTCGAAAGAAAAGTGCAGATACCGGTTCTGCTAGTCGGTATAAATGTGTACCGAAAATTATTCCGGAAAATTATAATAAGTGCATGATAATTACTAGAATAATATGTAGGACTTGTAAAACGAGTTTCAAGTCAAAATAATAAGAACTGATGCCAGAAACTGGTACTAGCTATGAAAAACGCGTACCGAAAAGGTGCTCCGAAAATTATAAGAAAAATATGTTAATTCTTGTAAAATTGAGTAGGTTAAGAATCCTGAGTTTGGGATTAAAATGCTAAGCGTAGCAATTAAAGTTAATATTGTGTGTTAATTGGTTAAGTGGCTATAAATAGGCTTGTTAAGGCACAAAACCCTAGGCATTCAGTTTCTCTACGTGAGTTGGGTGGCTGGTCTGTTCTTGCTACTGTTTCTTTGAGTTTTCTTCACCATTTTGGAGATCAAGTGTCACTTTTGCTTGGTTTCTTCATCTCCAAACACTTGAGCCTTGTGTGAGTGGCCTTTGTGAGTGTGTAGAGAGCTTTGGTTCTGAGTTAAGAGGCTGTTTGAAGTCAGTTTGTGGGCTGAGTGGCCTTGTGTGAGGGTGTGAGCTTATTCCTTGGCTGTTGAAGCTCCAAGGAGCCAACTTTGTGAAGAAAGATCCTTGCTTGAGGAGTTTTTTCGTGCACCCTTGAAGTCAGTACCTTGGAGCTATTGTGTGAGCTCCAAGAGCACCCATTTTGCTGAGTTTAAGCTGTGGTAAGTTGTACCAACCTTGGTCTTGAGTTTTGTTGCTTAAAGATGAAGTCTTGGCATGTTTAATGAATTAAACAAGTAACCAACTGTCATATGAACCTCAATGAACCTTAAGATGCATGTTTAAGCTTCTGGAAGTGATAAAAATGGAACCTTGGAAGGATATCTTCGCGAAATGCAGAAACTGCATTATGTCGCGAAATATCCAGATATTGCCGTGGAATATCCGGATATTGATATCCGGATATGGATATCCGGATATTGATATCCGGATATGGGGATCTGGATATCCGGATATTGCCAGAGTGATATCCGGATATTGGATATCCGGATATTGCCTGTGAGATATCCGGATATTTCCTGTGAGATATCCGGATATTTCCTGTGAGATATCCGGATATTTCCTGTGAGATATCCGGATATTGCATATCCGGATATGCCTCCGAGGAATATCCAGATATTCTGGGTTTGCGAGGAACAGTAGCGTACTGTTCATCCAGAACTGATCTATGGGTTTGTGGACCCTAGTTTGAGGAAGTTGAACTTCTGTAATTAATTAATGTAAGTCAGAATCATGTGATTAAGGGCTTATGGCTTGGTGAGAAGCCTTAAGACGTAAAACGTAATGAAAAGACGTTGTCTTTATGTTGTATACTTGCAGAGTATAATTGTTGATGTATTGTTGGTCCATAACAGATTGTGAATCTGCTCTGTTTGGACTTTGAGCTGTGGACTCTTGGCTTTGGGTGTTAGCTTGCAAGGTTTCGTGTCCTCGGTTTAGCCATGTTGTGGTTCCACCATGTCCCTTGGGGGTATGGTTATATGCATGTTGTGTTACATGCTTTGGATATTTTGAAATGCTTTTGAGCTGATATGTGCAATGGCTTATAATATGTATGTGGTTTTTCCACTTAGTCGGTAAGCCTGAGTATGTGGCATCATACAAGATGGTGAGTCCGTGGGTGGGTGCAAGTAACGTCTTGCATATTGTGTGGATAATAGACGTATTCCTGCATTTCTCTGATCAGTAGAATAGTATTGACACACATGACATGATTATATGCTGCATTGCACTATTTTATAATTGATGATGATAAACTGCTTTTAAACTTATATTGCACATGTAAGTGAGCTTGGGGTGGAAGATCCTTGAGGACCCCTTGCCTTACTGAGATTTCTTGTTTAGAGATCTCACCCCACGTTTGGGGAATGCTTATTTCAGGTTCAGGTAGTATGGTGACTGATGCCTCTGGCGGCAGGAGGCCAGAGCTTAGTTGATTTTGATATTTATGCTGTATTACTGACATGTCTGGATTGGATGTTGTTTATGTTTTCTGCTCTTTATGTTTTGAGTTGATGTTGGGCTTTGTTGCCTTATTTGGGTGAGCATGGGAATTGTCCATGCCACTATGTTGTTAGTACTGTTAGTCTGAGTTGTATAAACTGCTAGTTGGTCCGGTCTACGTGTTGTAGTTCCGTAACTAAAGACATACATTATGTTATTTTAATTATTGAGGTATTTCAGTTAGCTGTTTTATTACAATTGCATACAGGCGATGTTTTATTAATTAATTAATAAGCAAGTTGGTAATGATAATGACTTCATAATTGAAAAGAAAAAGATATTCCGCATTTTTAATTAAGCGCAGCTTAATACGATAGTATGATAACATTTCCAGATATATACGGGGTGTTACAGATGCCATCAAATAAAGATTTTCTCACTGGGAGTCGTAACAAAATACAATAGTTATGATGGAAAACTAAAAGTAATGATGGAAAAATTATCTTAATAGCAGTATTGAATAACTGCTCTTAGCATGCTATATATTTGAAAGTAAAATCATTGATTTTCTTTAACTACTACCATTACAAAACAAAAATTAGTTATTATTATCCACAAAATTACTAAAATGCATTGTATACAATATGTTTCAATATAATTTGGATGTATAACATGCTTAGATGTCAAAAGAAAATTTTATTTTATTGATTCACAGATGAAAATCTCTGTTAAAACATATCACTACTGAAAAATTTATTTTTGTTGTAAAATATTATGAATGAACTTTCACATGGTTCATAACATGTGACTCTTTATATTCTATAATCATCATACTAATGGTGTGTTGAATTGTAGAATATATTCAAGGGGGTATTGTAAAATATTATGGATGACCTTTCACATGGATCATGGATAACTTTTCACGTGAATTATGAATGACTTTTCACATAATTCATAACATGTGACTCTTTGCTTCCATTGTAAAATATATCCATTTTTTCATGACTTCCATGTTTAAAAATGCATCTAAGATATACTCTTATATAGGACTCTTTGCTTATACTTATTCTTATTTTATTCTTTCTTTTATTTATTTTTTCTACACTTCATTTTCCTTTCTTTCATATTTCACTTTCTCTAATATTTTTCATCAAATTCACAATAATTTTTACTCATATTTATAAATATTTAAAATTATATTATTTTTAACTTTTTAAATAGGGAAAAGTTCACCAATACCCCTGTGGTTTTCTTCAGAATCACTTATGCCCCTGTGATTTTTTTTCTATCACATATGCCCCTGTGCTTTGTAAAAAATAAAAAACTACAGGGGCATATGTGATAAAAAAACATACCCTTTTACAAACCACAGGGGCATATGTGAAAGAAAAAAACCACAGGGGCATAAGTGATTCTGAAGCAAACTACAGGGGCATTAGTGAACTTTTCCCTTTTAAATAATAAAAATTTTGATGAAATTTTTTTTTTTGGCCCGCAGGTCAACCCTAACCCAGCCCGCTAAATTATAAGGCTTTGAGAGTTCGGGCTAAAAAATCACAAAAAGACCTTAATAGATTAGAGCCAAATATAATGCTTTTGCGGGCTGACTCCCGAGCTTTAACTCATTTTAACACCTCTAGAGATGAGAGCCCTAATTTGATCCCACCCAAATATTGTTCACTTAATATATATCAATTTAAAATTATTTTAACTAATTAATCTTCTTATATATACTTTAATTTTAAATACTTACAAGTTGCGACAATTCTCAAATTTCACCAATTAATACGAAAATGGGAATTTTTATCTTTGTTTTTTCACCAAACATTATTGTACTAATTTTTCAGAACACTCTAGCTGTCACATTACAACAACTTTAAAAATGGTCATGCTTTCCTTTGCTCAAAAAAAAAAAAAAAAAAGGCAATGCTTTCAGAAACATATTAACAGGGCAGCACCTAATAGCGTAATACCAACGCATCATCCAATACTTGGGTTGTGCTGGACTTGTTGCACAATGTCTCAAACACAAACATTCTATCAATCCATGCATGCTGATGCAGCCAGCCTTGTGGAAAGAAGGAAAGTAAACTCGCGAGTATAAGGAAATTCAAGTCCTTGAAGGAGGGAATTTCCCTTGAGAAATGGTATCTGAGTGCCAACTATGGGTACAAATATATAAGCTATATGCTAGTTAAGCTTTGGATGATGCCTTGCATATGTGATATGTGCTACTAATCATAATCTTCAATTCTATCCAATAGGAAGAAAGTATTAAAAGAAATTGCCCCTCTTGGCCAACCCATCACATACAAAAAAAATACCATAAAATTCTTTTAAAAAAAAAATGAAGTTTACAAATTGTAGCCGAATACATGTTGCAGTTCTATCTAACCTGCAGAGCTGCGAGTGGGTTTACCAATAAGCACTGCTTCACTACTTGCAGCTTTCTTTGCAGCAAGCTCCTCTAAGCGTTTCCAAGTGGCTTCACGTCCTGCTGTGACTTCATCTTCCTTTGATTCATCTTCCTCAAACTTTTGTAAACATTCTTTGAATAGATCAGGATCGAGATCCTGGAAAATCTTCCGCACATTTAAAGTCAAACTATGGACAGCCTGGTTCCAATGACTTCTAGCATTTTTCTCCAATGCAGGGAAGATGATGGGCAGTATCACTTTGCGGTTTTGTTTGATTAAGTTCACAATGTGATCATTGTTCCACAAGAACAAAGCTCTTTCTGCAACCTGAGGAAAAAGACAAGATTCATGTTTGTAGACTGTCATGGGAAAATAGCATATTGCAACTGCATCTCCATTTCAGGTTATGACAAAACTGGACGAATTAAACTAGAGAAATCATTGTTCAGCTTTGTTGGCCCAACTTTAGCACTTTCACATCACATTATATCATTAAAATGCATGCGAATAATCATTTGTACCCATTACATTAGCAATTGAGAGATCATTCACTGAACTTTATCCAGTGTCAACTAACTCTTGAGAATTGCAACAGACAATTTAACAGCAATTCAAGAAAGCATAGCCTGCATACATCTGAATGGTAACAACAACAAAATATCCACTCAAACTAGAAATATTATGAACAATTGTAAGCTATAATCAATTCCCATTCATGCAAACACCTCCAAAATGAAATTAGCACCATCTAAACATTTCGCACATGCTTTCTTACTTTCCTATTTAGGAGGTGTAGGGGGAGGGAGGGGTACAGCGAAGGATGGACCCCTATTAAATTTTTAATGGGCTTTTTGACTAGAGGAGGGGCCGTAGCTTCCCTTTCCCACAAACGTAAGCAATGTAAGTAAAATAGGATTCAAGTCCTCTGAAAAAATACCAAAAGAAAAGAATGAAATAGAAGCTCCAAAAATTCAACTTGTAGCATGACTGTTGTCATCATCAGTGTTAACTGTTAAGCACAACCAGATCTAACATTATAAAGTTCATCTCATCAGAATTATTTCATCTTTTTACCAAAAAAAAAAAAACAAAGAAAAGAATTATTTCATCTTTTGACAGCTCACTGCCAACGTATTTAGCACTATCTAATAATGAGTGCAAACATTATAAGATTCTAAATTTATATAGGAAAGTCAAATCAGAGACATACCTTTACTAGTGGTTTACAACTTATATTTCAAGAGTGGACTACTGCAGAGAATTAATTACAAGTGCCAACTTATAATCATTAACATCCAAGTTGAGCGTAACAGCACTGTTACTGTTAGAATCTATTCACATCATATGGCATTTTAAATTGTAGGCAGCACCAAATTGCAAATTACTTGACAAAGATTTTCTAAGTGGAAAATTATCAAAAACATCAATCTCATTCCAGTCTAGTAGGAACGCCCATAATGAACTTAAACCCAGCCCCCCACCCCCCCACAAAAAAAGAAAGATAAAATGTAAGAGGTTATTGCACACATGAATAATATAATCGATCTACGCTTCATAGGGAAAGGATAGTCACATATTTTCATTTACTTGTACAGAATATAGAACTGACACAAAAGTTACCTTTAAGACACAGGCTTACATTTTAAGACACCAGAATAAACTTTCCTGATTATTAAGGGATATAATTTAACAGTTAGTGACTTGGTGGAGGTGATACCAAACCTGTTAGACATATGAATAAAAACCATTTTTTCAGCATTCACTAACAGTTTAAGCTTTCAAGATATTTGGCTAGTTAATATGGTATTAGAATCTCTTCAACCAAGAAGTCAAGAACTCAATCCTTGCCACCCCTATTCTCTCAATTAGAACTAATTTCAGCAGAAGATTTTTGGTTGGCCTATGCTTCTTCCATGGTTAGCTTTTGTGTGAGAGGGCACATGAGAGAAATTTAATAAGAAGCTATCCTTGGAACTTCTCCTAACAGCATGGTCATGGGATTTTACCATAGTTAATTAATTGACAAAACCAAAGTTAATAACATGAGAGAGAGAGAGAGAGAGAGAGAGATATCTCTGACTGAATAGAAACAAGGATGATACAATATATAGAATGAAAGATATATAAACTTGCAGCAAGATCAAAACCTGCAATAGTGAAAATCACATACCACCATTATTGGTTTTTTATTTTTTAAAACCCTTTAGCGGGGAGGGTTTACCATAGAACATGACTATACACTTAATCATCCTCTGCATGTTTAGCCTTTTTGCGCTTCGCACAACAGTGCAGTGACAATTGACATAAAACACAGATATTGGAAGCTGACTGTACTCCTAAATTATTTAGGTGTAATGGATAAATCTTCATATGAAATCTTCTGGATCACAGCAAGTAACCAGGAGACGGATATTCTTGCATGTTCGAGTGGAGAAACATCAACAAAATTACACAAGTGAGGGCTTAACCACAAGACCTCCTTCCTGATACTTTGATTATTTAACAGATACTACTAAATCCAAAGTTATTAGAGAGTATAGATTTGAATGATTTCCATGTTTTAAGAAGGCATAAGGAAACAAAAGGATTCAAGTTTCTTTACCTCGACCATTGTTGTTATGTTTAAACTTTAAAACTACAAAACGAAATATGCATTGAGCAATAGGGTGGTGCAAAAAGTTTATCCTTTTCTTGGTAGCTTAAATGGCTTCTCAACTAGAGGAAATCAATTAAGGTATAGCATTCAATATCAAGGAGGTTGCTATTGAGAGGAGTCAGATGTAATTTCTACATGAAATTAAAGAGGGAAAACATAAAAAGGAACTAGAGTAAAGCATTGAAAATTTCATACCTGAAAATGGAGGCTATTCAAACAATGGGCAATACGCCGAAATAAAGGTGCCATACAACGCTGGAATTCTGGAGGTTGAGTAGCTTCTAAGACTTCTTCCAACTCACCCAGGAACATAACTTCCTTTGAACTATTTGTTATTGGCCAGTACTTCAATAATCCCCTAATAATAGCATCAGCAAGCTTGAAGTCTTTCTCCACAAATTGGGTAATGCAATAAGATAACTGCTGATGATACATTGCTAAGCACTTTGGTTTGTGCAGGGGAATCAGTGTCCGAACAAGAAACAGTTTATGCTCTTCTTTCAATGGCAGCGCGAAACCATTAATGATGCTCCCTAGAATTTCCAAGAACTCAGCAATGCCATTATGCTTCTCAGTCTCAAACATGAAATTAAAGAAGATATTATTGACCGATTTCCTGATGAAAGGGCGATGTGCCATGAATTTCCCATAGATGCGGTGCAGAGTCATTTTCAAGTACTCCCGTTCTCTAGGATCTTCAGAGTCAAACAAATCCAGCAGCCTCAAAACGAAGGACTGATCAATGAATCTCTTAGCCAACTTTGCATCCAGCTCAGGTGATGCTACAAATCTCAGAAAAAGCTCATACACGATTTGCAAATGAGGCCATGCAGGATCCATTGAAGGCTCCTCCTCCTCCACTTCAAGGCCATCAACAAGTTTGTTCTCTCGCGGTTGAGGACTAAGTGTTCTGAATATATTTACAGACACCATTTTCACAACTTCTTGCATCACATTCTCAGGGAACTTAGCATTAGCAGAAGTCACATAATCCACCAGTTCCACCAAGGCCTGTCTCTTAATTTCCTTTTCTTTGAGGTGCTTTGTGGGGTCAGTGAAGTCAAACACCACACTGCACATCTTGAGCTTCTTCATGAACAAGCTAGGCTTCTCAGAATCTGGAACATCCCTGAATGCAGGCAATGCTTCATAAGAATTGAAATTCCCATTGGGATTCTCATTCACACCCAATGGTATTTGAGCTCTGTTACCACGATGCTGTCCCGCATTCAAAGATGAAGAATTTCCTTGTTTGCTGCCCCCTGCCACAACAAGATTACTGCTTTTCGAGGTGGTAACGCCATGGCTTCTTCCACTTCCACCATGTTCGCGATGCTCAGAACCTTTTGATGACTTTCGAGGAAGTTTACTAAGTATCTGTTTGAACATAATTCATCAAACGAACACACAACACCCTTTCTCCTAATCTGAAAAATAACAATCCCTGAAACTTTGTCAACGACACGCTACGACACGATTTTGTTTGTACGGAAGAATCATATAATTCGCATCAGTAACATAGAACCATCATCATGTCCTGAGCCGACCAGACACAAAGGTTCTTGTTTGAACACTCTGATAACTGATAACTGATATGATGGCGAGGTTGGCATAAGAAAAAAGAAAAAAGAAAAAAGAAACCCTTTTGCTTATCTGGGTAGCAGAAGAAAAGCCAGTTCTCTAATTCTACCCATGGTGATGGAGCAGACCCGATTTGATGATTCAGAATCTGTGAAAACTGAACGTTAGCGATCACAAACACTGATGGAGAAACCAGAAATCAGAATCAATAATCACAAACACAGTGACACGAGGTTCAGAATTCAAAAATACAAATATCAGAAACCCAATCTTCTACGCTGTTGGGGTTGAAACGCGAGAGGAAGACGAAGAATGTTCTGCAGATTTCCCTTTTCCTCTCTCTCTCTCTCTGTTCTTTTTTCTTTTTTTTTAGGATATGTAAATTATTTTCGTTTCTATTTAAAAAAATAAAAAGAGAATTTCGAACTATCAGCAGAGAATATAAAATAAAAATATAGGTTAGGATATTGGAAGAACCAATTACGATTATTACTAATGTTATTACTAATCAATTTCATCGTTAGATCAATTATGTTGATCCAACGGTTATATTTATTTTTTACTTTTGTATGATTATGATTTCTCATATTTAATATTTTATATTTATTTCCATCTTTGTATAAGTATAATTTCTCATATTTAATAGATAATAATAACCGTTGTATCAAAATAATCGATCCAGCGATGAAATTGATTGATAGTAATATGTGTAGTAATCCTAATTGATTGTTACAATATCTTACCCCTTAAAATAATAAAAATAAATTTAAAATCGAGAAAAAATGGTAAAATGCACATGCAATACAAGCATCATATACTGACTGTAGATTAATCAATAGAAGAAGGAAGAATATTATAATAAAGGAAAAGAACATTGAAAATGTTTTTAAGACACAAAGCCAAACACGGTTTTGTAATCTTCGCGGTTGGCGTTTGTTGACCTGGGAATTTTTTTTTTTGTTAATTCTCATGATTCGATCATTCTTCTTCTTCTTCGAGAAGTAGTCAAGTCAGTACAATGTGTGATTTCGACCAATTTGAAGTCAGCACAAAAATGCAAAAGAAATTGGTACCCAAAAAATACGCCGGACACGAGAATAGATCAATTGCTCAATCAAATGCCTAAACGATATCGTATACCTTTCGCATATATAATGAATTTGAGTGCACAACAGCATTTGACAACCCAATAAGGCCGTCCACTCGCCTACTGAATATTGTCCCTTTTCAATTTAAATTTTATCACAAAGTAAGAGCTAGAATTCATATATATTTTAAGCCATTTTTTGTTAGAATTCATGTATATTTTAAGCGATTTTTTGTCACATCACCTAGAGTTTTATAAGAGTTATGTAGTAAGAAAAGTGATTATATAATGTTATAGAAATTCGTTTTGCGTGCCATAGTTTTTTTTTTTTTGCTTCAAAAAGTGCAAGCCCCACAAAATGTTGTGTGTGTAGGAAAAATTTTTGTGTCTTGTGACATGATAGATGCAAACCCCAATCACCTAACCCATAAAGTTCACCGTTACCATTAATTTCATTTGTTTTTTTTTTTTTTTCATGAATGATTCACATCTATGTGAGTTAAATGAATTACTTTATCCATTTTAAAATATCAAAATTTTTACAGATAATATTATATTTTGTTTTTTTTTCCATTTTAGGAATTAAAATATATTATTGACCTAACTTTAATTTTAACTTTGTTTTTTGATATCTCTATCAAATAAAATTTAAATTAACCACATCATAATGAATTATATATATTATTCTGTCCTTCTCACAATATCACTTTTATTGTATCTATAACTCTAAAAATATTAATGAAAAATAAAATTAATATTAGAAAAATATTAATTACTTTTTCAAATTTTAATTTTATTTCTTAATATCTTAAGTAAAATAAGAAACTATTAATGAAATAAAAAGACAATTTAATAAAATATAATTATATATTTAAAAATATTAAAGATATTTGATGACTTCCTTTTTTAATCTTTTTACAAAAAATGGTTAATACTTTAAAATAAGGACAATATTTAACATTAAATAACCTTATTAAATGATTTTCTTTATATAAAGAATTATTTACATTAATTCTTGTTTCAAATCATACCTTAAGAATCTTCGTCCTTATCCTTTCCACTCTAACCCCAACCTGAGGAATCTTCGGAACGTTACAGGACAATTCAATATTATTAAAATTAGCTCGATTTTGATCCAGTGGAAATACCGAGTCACTGAATTACTGTTTTAATCAATGAATAACTGATTGAATCGCATTAAACAATAATTATATACAATTCTATAATTTATACTAAAAAATTATAAACATACTCAAATATTTAAAAATTAAAAATTTCAAATATTTAATATAAAAAATAATAAATCACACATTACTATCCAATAAAAGATAAAACAAAAATATAATGATCGTAATATATGATTTATGTAAGTCAATAAACAAAAAATATTTAAATTTTTTGAAATCAGACCGGAATACCAATTTTCACAAAAATCGTTTGAGTCACACCAATTCACATCGATTCTAATGGATAGCTAATTCATTGCTTCATCCGAACAGTCATATATGATCGATTTACCAGTTTTCGAGCCGATCCAATTTTATTAATTGGAGCAATCGATCGAGAACTAGCTAAAAGGCTATTCTTACCAACCAAAAGCGCGTTCAAACAGGACAAGAGGATTACGTGAAAGGATTACATTTTTTTTTGGCAAACTCGGTGGCTTGTACAGAAATTAATTTTTAAAGTGTTATATATTTAAAAATAAAAACAAATTCACACTCTTGATTTATTATTATTATTTATTTAATTTGAGCACGTGTCCTTAAATATATCGATTTAAAAATTAGACCAAGAACAACCACGTCTATTTTTACTAATTCTGAGCATAACCATTAAAACAAAGAAGACATCAGCAAAAAACTAATCAATGTTTGAAATTATTCAACTACTTAAATTACAATGTTCTCTTGTCTATTTGAAAAAACTAACTTTTCTCTTAAAAATACATTATACTGTAATTTATTTTATTTAAATAAATTTCTTAACGGAAAAATACTAATACTTGACAATGCATACTAAATATTCATAAAAATAAATAAATTATTTTAACACCTTCCTTCAAAGTCAACTGAAATTCTATTTAGTTAATTAGGTGGAAAACAAAAGTAAATATTTTAAATAAAGTTTTTCCATTTTATTTGATATAATAAATATAAAAATTGTTAATAGACATGTACTCAACATAAAAAATGTCAATAGACAAATACTCGACGAAAAAGCCTTACAAAATATACTTGGCTTTGTTCTCAATGTAAGCTTCAATTGATGGTTCTCTTCCTAGAAAGTCCGATAACATTCCAATAGAATCCTTCGCTCCTCCTGGGGCCAATACCTGCAAATGTTTTGAAGCAAGAACGCAAATAAATACTAAATTTACAATAAAAACTCAGAAATCTGCTTAATTTAGGAAACCAATAAATTGCTGCATGTGATCTTTACTCCTAATAACAAACAATTAGAGCGCCGTGAAATTGGGAATGGAAAATTTAGAAATGAAATTTTTATACAATTTTTCATATAAAATTCATTGATTCCCACATGTAAAGGGACACATACTGATGATTAATATATTTCTGGGGGAAAATTGGAATGTCATTGTCATCAGTTACCTTGTTCCTAAATTGCATTCCGGCATGCTGGTTTGAAACATTATTGCAGAACTTTGAGGCGAATATATCAGCAGCAAAAACCTGAAACATTTTAGGCTTCAGTTTTAATTCTTCAAAAGCAATGATCAAGGAAGACTTTCTCCAGAAACAATGATCTTCAGAAAACTAAAAATGCATGATTGAAAATTAAAAGATTCTTGCAATGAAAATTGATTATGAATTTTGACAACGGTGTAAGATAAAGAAGTAGCAAGTTATTCAAACCTCACTCCATATACGACTGTAGCACGCTGCTTCATAACCAATAACACTAGAAGGAAAACATGAAGCTGGATTGGTTCCTTCTAATACGGGCAAGCCTAACATCACCTGAGAAATGAAATTTACATAGAACTTCCATTCAGTCTTTTCATTACAAACAGAACTTCAAATTAGTACTAATGTTGAATTCATTTACCTTGGCATGAAGATGCTTGAATAACTCTTGAATGTCTATGTTATCCGCAGAATGTATGATTTGGTCAAAAAGACCTGATAGCAAGCAGTTCTTAAGTTAAATGAAAATGAAACGCAACTATTCAGTGTATGATATTATCTATCAATACCATGTCCCACTTCCTAACCAAAAGAAAAATATTTGCAAGCTGACAAGTAAATAGCAATTGAAAAGCCATCCAAAGTAATCAAATGTCTGTGCATCAATCCACATTAATGTTAATACTTGAAAATAATAAAAGTTTCACCTTTTTTCAGTAGAAAATAACCATTTCCGTCACTTGTAAAACCTTCACTTTTATTTTCAAACATAACTACATCATGCGTACATTTCGTGTAAATATATACAATATATAGCAACTGATTGAATATGTTAGACAAATATAATATAAAACCATTCATGTGGCTTCATCTAATAGCTTAAGCTTGGGGGGTTGAATTGGTTGTTTTATATGGTATCAGAGTTTCTGTGACCAAGTGATCACAAGCTTGATCCTCACCGCTCCTATTCTATTAATAAATAATTAAATATTGTAGAGCTACTTAGCTCAAGTAGGTGACTCTGGGTATTATTCACCCTTCATGCCCAATGGGCTCTTGTGTGAAAGGATGTATTAGAGAAATATAATACAAAATACAAAATCATTAGTGTAACCTTCACCTAAAAGCTTAGACTTTTGGGTTGAATTGGTTGTTTCACATGATCAAATCCCAGACAATAAGAACTATTCACTACTCTAACGAGATCATATCATAGGTAAAGACAATGGAACTACCATCTAAAAGAAACTGCAATTTTCACTAAAATTGACTCCCCACAGCAGAGTAAGATATTATAAATAAGAATCCACCAACATAAGCAAAAGCATAAGAAAAAACTGGTAATATAAGGTTAAATTGTCAGAATAAAAAATAAAACATCATACAGTATAGAATCTCTTGCTTCAATTTAAGTGCAGAAAAGGAAGTCATCCATCTTTTAATTGATTTGCATATGTCATCCTTTATGGGCTTTGTAATATCCTGCAAGTCACAAACTTAATAAATTGAAGTACAGAAGCATTTGGTAGACGTATTCAGATTGAGGTGAGTTCAAAAAACAATGACTAATATCAACAAAAATCAAACCATGTAATTTTCAGAAAATTATGGAGGGAACAGTTGGCAAAACTCACCTGATGAAATCCAGAAATCAACTTCAGAGAAAAGCTTTCATAACACCTACGATTTCCACATGTAGGAAGATTGAATGTGTTTAATCTAAATTAGAATAAGGAAGAACTTGGAGTAGTTTTGTTACCAGTTTTCTAGCAGTTTAGCAGGTATTTCCACAAAGTCAGGATCAACACGTAATCCAGAAAATCTAGCAAATGATGCACGGTTGCAAATTTGTTGAACCTAATATTATTTTAAAAAGATTTCAGAATAAAGATAAACCATGTTATGTGCAAACAAAACTAAATTAAACTGCGATTTACAATATCTCACACCTTCTGCAGGAATATAGTGAATATATATTCAAATTCAAGCTATTGGCAGAATGAATCTTGTAAAAAACTGAGGTGGAGCAATAAGTAATCATAAAAATCTAGATTTATTGTCAAAAGCAAAACACCCGTCTCCTTTAGTCAAGGGCTCAAAGCACAGCAAACAATGACCCCAAAATCCAATTCCACAGTGGTATGTCCATTCTGTGAATGGGTGAAATAACATGCTCGAGAAGAAAACATTCTGGATTAACTTAGCTGACATGAACATCTATGAAACCTATTTACTCTAGGATACAAGTTGACTAATACAAGCCAAGAACCAAATTGAATTCATTTATATCAGTTTCTAAAAGTATATGCATTAGTCAGAGATAGAGAACCAAGTTGTTTCAATTTTATGGCTGGACACTGGGTAAACCAGCAAGCATGAAATTGACTTTAACAAAATCGACACCCAAGGGGATGGGAGGGAGAGAGATTAGTTTCAGGAAAAACTAGCAAATGCAACTACTAAAATCATAATATTTTTAAGAAAAATTGGTTACATGTCCAAAAACAACTTCACTCACATATGCCTTAGCAGTATTCATTACTAATCTAGACCGTTTACATGAAGCATCTTTTACTCACCAAAATTTAGTAGGCTTTCCAAATCCGTTCTTTTATGCTAGCCCTTGTTGCGGACAAACACTACCAAGGGAAATGCATATGAAGTAGCGCCAGCCAACATCATTATCATAGGTTATGTCATCTAAAGAATATGACCTCTACCCTCAGTTAACAATTCACAGCACCCTAACAGCTGGCAATATAACCAAAAACCCTTCCTTATTGCCTGCACATTCTCCTTTCCCTCACAAATCCAATGGACCTTCAATCCCCTAATTTCTATTCTACCCCTAATTCATTTTGAATTGTTCAATCCTATGCCTTCCACCGTCCAGTATCAGTTTTAAATACTACAAAGAAAAGGAAAAGGAAATTTAAATGTAAATGTAAAGACATTCTGAAAAGGATCTCAGTTATAGACAACTTTCATTTTACTCCCCTTTGACCCAAACCCAAACAAGCAAAATATGAGAATAATAATGCAAATCATGGGACAAGAAAATCTTATTCTGATTATGAAACCGTGCTTCACGGATATGAAAACAAACATACCACATGGCCAAACTCGTGGAAAAGACTGACCACTTCAGAAAACCGCAATAATCCTGGAGTACTGTCGGCATCCTTTTGATACTGAGATATTAGTAATGCAACTGGTATCTACATAAACATTAAAAATGAACAAAAATTGAGAGGCATGATATTTTATCCATACAATTGCCAAGATCCTAAATTTACAAAAAAATTGCAGTATAAACTTGGTGGCAGTCACTGTGTAAGGGTTGAAAACAAAATAAAAAAAGGCCGACCCAGTTCAAGACCCACTCCGTGAGTGTCTGGGGAAGGGAAATTTGAGTCAAGCCTCACCCCTCTTTGCAGGGGGGCCGAGTCGAACCCCTGACCTGGAACACCACGGTAAGCAAGCTCACCGCTGAGCCAGGCCGGCTCTTCGGTTGAAAACAAAATAATAACAAATAAAGACATGCATCAATGCATCACAACCAACCGTGCATAAAAGTTTTACCAGCTCCAAGCAATATATGCACACTCTGTATCACCAAAGTGCCTACTTAAACTATGGCCAAAGGGAAATGCCCTCTCAAGACAAGTCTACAACTCCAAGGACAAGATTTTTATCTTGACAACAGTTCTCAATAGGATTCCAATGACATATTGGAGAATAATCTTTTTGGAGTTCTTGTTGAATACTGGCAGTGACCTTCCATTTTAGAACAATATCTCATGGAAATGACACACTTCAGAGGTTTTGGAGAGAATAAGGCTAAATTTATTTGGTAGTGTGCAATTTATGCTATTCTAAGTTCTGTGTGGCTGGACAGTTGCATGCTGATATGGTCAGACAGAAGTTAGTTAGAACAGTTATGTTTGGACAGAAAAAATTGTTAAAGGTAGGAAATTAGTTTAAATAGGAGGGTAGAAGAGGGGGCATTCTGATTTGCTATTGTTTAGGAATTGAGCACTAGCTTTGTTATAGAAAGGGGAAATGCTTTATGAGGTGAAAAAACTTGGAAGGAGAATTCTCTCCTTTATGTTTCTGTTTATAATTCAACAAACACTACAGCAGTATTCTTTGTTCATTTCTCTGTTTTTCACATATCTTTCCCTCTCTGAAAACTCAGAATCCATTTTTGGGTTCCTAACAATTTGGTTCAACCTGCCAGATCTCTTATTGAGGTAGAGCAGAAATGGAAAATCAGGAGGGTTCTTGAAAAAGGTGACTAGCAATCAAGCATTACGGCCTCATTCATGGGATTCTAGCATTTCTAAGCTTGCGCAGATGCTGTATCGGTTGATGAAGAAAAAAGGTATTAATCTTGAGTCAGAGTAAGATGACAAACAACCCATTCAAGAAGAGTGACATTTAGTCAAATATGCAGGGAATGGAAAAATAGTAGGACGATGATTCAGAGAAATTCTTTGAGGTAATAGGATAGCCCAAAAATTTGAGGGCAACGTAAGGGTTATTGACAAAAAAGAGTCATAGAGGATTTGTGGATAATGAAGATAGCAGTGAACACTCCAGTGTCAGTCATTAAACAAGATCTATGCAATGATGGTGGTGAATAAAAAATCAGAATCTAAGTTTCAAAGTCGCGAAGAGAGTGAGTAGGAGGATATTCCAGAAGTCCAAGGCCAAGGAAGCAACTTTGACAGAATCATTGAAATTCCTCCATTGGACAAAGGCAGTGGGCATCTCCGCCCTGTACTGGCTTTTCCCTTTTCTCCATAACCAGCATCATGTCTCCACTGGAAGCCAGACATTATGCAGGGCCAACAGATGCGTTATTCCAGCATGTCACTTTGGAGACTGCTCAGCCACCAGATTTGTGCAACAGCATGTTGCCAAGATGCAAGCTTTCACAGAGAGACGCCAGCAGAGGTAGCGACAGCGGAACTGTGCTAAATGTTATGGTTTCAATGTTCAAAACTTCAAATCATCATGAAAATGATGAAAGTAGCAGCACAGCCATAAGGAAAAACTAAATAAATTGCTTGTCATGAGAACATGTCATTAAAACAGGGGAAAAGTAGAGAAACTTCAAAAGCTAATCCAACTACATAGGAAATGGTGCTTAAAATAAGAAAATTAAACTTAAAAGAAATTTAACTTTATTCACTAAAAAATAACCTGTTGTGCTCCACTGATTGTTAATGCACTGTTCTGGAGAGCCATCACACAAGTATGGCCAAATTTTCCTTCCCTGTAAAAATAAACCAACATGAACCTATTTTCAACTTTCACTGGCAAAAAAAAATTAAAGGAGCATTAAAATTTCAAAAGTTAAAAAGCTTAACCTCGAGAACAAATCAAGGTAGCAATAACCTAAGAGTTCACTAGAACCTAAGTCAAGTACTGAAAAAACACGAACATCACAGTGCCAAACCTCAGCTCCTGCAATTTCCTCAAACTTTAAACCTTCAAGGAAAATAACAAGAATGGGTATCAATGTGCATTCTACCACAGAAATTAAAACAAACAGAAAAATTATAAAAAAAGGAATTCTTGACAAAAATATTTTGGTTTAGGAATAACTAAACACTCAAGCAGTTAATAAAGTCAGTAAATGATTACTCATGAACCACTTCATGAACATTGTTAACCAATTCAATGGTTTATTTTTCCTAAAATGGAAATATTTTACTAAGAATTCCTTTCCAATTACTTTCCACAATAACTGAATATCTGATGGTCAAGGTAATAAAACATAAGGACAAATATAAAATTACCAAATAGATCTTGGACAATTTTGAAGATCCCAGATAGAACTAAATTAATTGGTAAGTATTGCTTGATCTCGCCAAAGTCCAAATCATAACTCTGCTCTTCAACCCGTTTTACATAATACAGTAGGTCCTCAATTCCAAATGGAAATTCCCCTTCCTCTTTCTTCTGATATCATATCACAATAAATTTGTAATGAGGTATACATAATTAAAGCAAAACAGGATACACCAAAAATATTCAAACCTTCAAATTTTTCAACATTTCAAGTTCTTCCATGGCCAAGTCAGTCAAACTTGTTGATATGCCTTCCAAGAACTCAAACACCTGGATGAAATTCGGAAAATATTAAAAAAAAAAAAAAAAAAAAAACTATGTGATTAGCTATATTAATCTGTCAAATTACACTTAGTCTATGGCACAGCAACAAGACAGCCTCTCCAGTTCTCATTTCATTGTTTATTTTCCGAGAACATCACCCAGCAGTTATCAAGCTGGTCTGAGCTTAGAAAGTTTGTCGAACAATTTTTTTGTTTTAAATTAGAGATTTCCTGCACTGGATGTCATTATAATCTCATATCTGTATCATTATCATATATAGATGATTCACAGTTGGTCATGACTGTCTGACACATCTTCAGAGTAAGTGATTAAAAAAAATGTTATAATTTTTAGAGATAAACTTAAAAATATTATAAAAAAACTCATGATTTGTGTATAATTTAGTTTTATAACTAGCACTGACTATTGATTCTTGCTACCCTTCAACATTATCTGTTACAAACAAGAATGGGCTAAACTTGCCCAAACAACATAAGTGACTTGACATGCAGCCTCAAAAGAACGATAACTATCTCGACGATTTTGCACTCTCTTTCTTATGACTTTGCATTTCAGCAAAGTTGCATATGCTGCAACCTAGGTTGTCAGTAGCGGCCCGTAGCGCCGCTACCGTAGCGGGTAGCGGCGGTCGGCCGCTACAAACCGCGACGCTACGCGACATTGGCCATAGCGGAAGGTAGCGGCGTAGCGTAGCGGCAATACCGCTACCCGCTACACCAATACACCACTCCCATGTTGGAATTTGATGGAGAATCCGGAGATGATGATGATGATGATTTTCTTCATTAGTTCACTTCTTGTACTTGACTATTTGACAATTTTATTGTTCGTGTTTAGTTTTGGATCCTTCCTTGATGTTCCTTGTATTTGACATTGATTGTGGAATTATGTGTTTGATTTTGTGTGACTTCTTATGTTTGAGCATTAATACTAAAAGCGGTATTGCCTTGTTTCTTGACTGTTAGTATAATATTTGTGGAATTAATACTTCACCGTAGCGGCAATACCGCTACCCGCTACACCGCTATACCATTTTCGGGGTCGGCCGCTAAATAACGAGCTAATGAATCTCCTTCTTTTTGCCATTGAACTTCCCAATCAAATTCCTCGTAACTGCTACTGACAACTATGGCTGCAACCTATTCATCTAAGGGAAATACATGGTCAAAGATGAAAGGTGAGTATAGAGAGAGGAAGTAAAAACAGGTGTGTGCTTAGAGAGGCTTGATGGCATGATAATTTGTTGAGTTTTACTTCCTTCCTTTTCCAGACAAATTTATCTACTAAACACAACTTAAAAAATAGAAGCTCCAACGGAACCCTCTAGCAGTAGACAAACCAAAAGAGACGCAATTCATACTATAATCTAACCAGCTTTTTAGTGCTTCTGAAGGAAAATACATTATTGCATCTCTACAACGATTTTACAAACCTTTGTAGGTGTCTTTGCCATTCTAACATCAACGGCATACTCTGCATAGCATGAATAGCCAAGTAAACGAGCATATTTATGGCGTTGTTGCACCTGAATCATGCCAATTGAGTATCAACATCAACAACCTTTAATATGATTTTGGCAACAAAGATGTCTAGAACAAACACAAAATCAAGAATCATAAAAAGTCATAAGCTTAAAGATGATCAAATGAGCCCCATAAACAATTCAAACTTTAAACTAATAACTAACCTACAAGTAACATTTGTCATAATCATATACAAATTGATAACTGAAATTTATCCATTCAAATCCAATAAATTCAACTGTGTTAACCATCATTATTCATTGGTAAGTTGTTCGCAATAATGAAAATATAGAATTATAAAATTACATTGGAACCATTCTCACTCCCTTTGCCAAACTCTTATTAGTCATTTAAGTACAATAACAAGAGGTTGCCTGCATGTCAATGACCGGTTACAACTTACAAGGTCCAATTACAAGATAACTTCTCAATTTATTGCTCAAAATCAAATTAGAAATATTTGACAGTAAATAATGAAGTCTTTAATGAGTAATCTCATCAGTGAAAATTACCAGACATTCCAAAATAGTAAGATTGACTTCTCCACATCTATTCCCATACGCCCCTGATACCATCCGCCTTGTAGTTCCTACCTTCATGTGCTCAATATAGAATTATAGACCTTGTTAGTACAGTTTCCCTGAATAAAAGAAAACATAATATGCCATGACAACAAGGAGAAATCATGGATGCATTTCTGAGAAGAATATTATTTATGCTTATGGAGATATTCAAGTGATCCAATGTAGCAATATGTTCTGTGTCAATAAATACCTTTACCTACTGTCTTTTTGTGTCACATTAAGAAACAAATTTAATTAATTAATTAAGAATCCAAAATACACAAGAATTAAAAAATAACAATTCATAAAAAAATAAAAAAATAAATAAAAATAAATAACAATTCATTGTGAACAATTTATTAAATTAAAAAAACAATTCTTTGTGACAATAATTTAAAAATAAATAAATAAATAAAGGTAAGGAAGTCATTCTAGCTTATCAGTCTATGTTTTTTCCAAGTCAAATTCCTGTGGAAAGTATTAGACACACATTCATTTCACTAATTTTAAAAAGCAAACCCTTACAGAGACAAGAATACCATTTTATTAAATAGAATACAACTGAAAATTCAGATGCTTCTCATTATTGGTGTACTAGTGGTACAAGATATAGTTTAATCTTGTTTCATAATATAGCACTTATTTAGCTAATAAAAATGCAACCATTAGTTAATACTTCATCCACCATACCTTGCAAAATTCAAGTACAGCTGCGACATGATGACTTCTCAGAGAGATCTTCAATTTTCCATTTTCAGATTTATCTAAACCCTGTGAAGGAAAGCATTTATTCCAACAAACAACCGGGGGAAAAAATAAACAAATGTTTAACAAATGAAGTCCTTGCTATTGCAGAAGCAGTAATGAGCCTCCATAAAAAGCTCATGCATTAGGTATTAATCGTGTATCCATATTACACTTATCTGGAGCAAATATGTAATAAATCTGTCTAAAAAGTGGAGAGAGAATTGGTAAATTATGCATTAATTATTCCCTTAGGTAGTCCAATCGGTTAAATATTATCTTGACCTTAAAATCTACATTTCCCATATCTCTGTATTTTTATTTTTCGATTTCTCAAATGATGGCTACTTTGTATTCCTTTTTGTTGAGTCACACGAGTTCATATTTGAGGGCTATATTTGGTATTTTAGATTGGAATGGGAGGGGATGGTTTTCAAAAGGAAGGAGAGGGAAGGTATTCATCTTCTTGTTTGGATGTATTAAGTAAAAATTTAGGAATATACATTATCTTGTTTGTTTATGAGACAACATTATGGGGAAGTAAATGGAGATCAATTTATTATTTTATCCTTTTCCAATGCGGGAAGGGGATGATTTCGAGAGAAACAAATTCAACTCTCTGGGAGGAAAATTGAGGATAACACCATAACAGGTTACTCCATGTCCCCTCCACTTCTTAAATAGGACAGCCAAACATACATGTGAGTGACACTAGTCCTTCCCTTCCCTTTATTTCCATTATTTTGTCCCAATCACAAACTCAGTGGCAGAGTCTTGTAGTGTGTCCACCTACTACTTACAGTTCAAGGAAGAGGAAACAATTCCAAGCCCACCCAACAAAAGAGTGTTCTGATGCAGAAAAACGAGTACAATGAAATTTATGTTGAAACAAAAAATAGAAGACATGGGGTTTAGAATAAAATAATATAAGCTATAAATTTGAATGTTCATAATTTACAAGCAAGCGTTTAATAGTTGACATGAGCCAAGATGCCAAAAGGGAAAGGAAAAATTTCAGAACATGCATACTACACTTGTTAAGTTGATTGATGTAAGAGCAATCATACTGAACCTTGAGAAACTCTGTAGGTAATCCAAGTAACTCTGCCTCGTTGAAGAGAAGAAACGTGCTATCATCATTGAGATTTTGGATATATCTAAAGCTTAACTCATCAATCTGGGCCCTTAGACGTAGCAACTCTTCTCTTTTGCTCGCAGTGAGGTTCAATCCATTTCGTTCAAAGTCTCTCACCTGTCACTGATCAGGAAAGAATCAACATCTGGATTTCATAGTTTTCATGGAGAAGTATATTAGAATATGGTGCAACCCTGCAATCAATTTAGTAACATAGAATGATACAAGCAGTGCCAGTAACAAATTGATGCCATTAATCCCCCCCACCCGCCAAAAAAAAAAATTAAAACAAGACTATGTTACAGACAACTATTTGGTTCTTACCAGAATTTGAACAAAGCGTTTGACTTCAGCATTCATCCAATCCCCCCTTACTGCAAATGCTTTAACAACAAGATATACATCTTCACGTTTGCTGATCCACTTGCATGAAACAACACAGCATTCAATTTCATAATCGATGAAATGAAAAGACACCTGTGAAGAAAGTCATGATACCATGCAATGCATGCAGCAGTATTGTGAGCTTATCCTCACTGTCCACACCACATTGTATGAGTCCAACAAGCTTAAGAACCAGCCTAAATTCCCTGAGCTGATAAGGCATTTCTGCCCCAGTAAAAGCCCATGGGGACAGAAATCACAAATAGTGTAAGAAACTAAAACTCAATGGAAACAAACCTGCACACATCAAGATGAGTATCTATTCTTCGCTCTGCTTCTGCACTTGCTTTGCGCACATCCTCCCGAGTAGATACCAGCTTCGGAAAGACACATGATTGGATCAGTGGGAATTGCATCGCTTGCAATTCTGCCAGAGGTGATATAACATTCGTGCATGTAACCTGTAGTTTTTGTCGACACAAGTAAGACAATCAGCTTAAGGAAACAGTAAATAGTGAAAAAAGAGAGAAAGAGAGAAAGATACACAACAAATAAACGAACACAAGCGACGTTGATCCCAAACAGCGAGATTTAAAAATTTGGCGCCGCTGCACCATGTTCAATTTGCAAAATTTGAACGTGAATAAAAAAATTTCAAAATCTCAAAAATTATCTCGCCGATAAGTTTTATAAACAAATGCGAGCTTGTTTTGAAGTCATAATTCAGTAAATAAATAAGAACAATGAGATCAGCGAAGCATAAAGATGTGAATCTGTGATACCTTATCGAGAGGCACCGACGCAACAGAATTATGGACCTCGTTTGACTTGGCAATGATTTGGTCTGCCAACTTAAGAATCTCAGATGCTGATAGGTTAACAAGCACCTTAGAACCTGCAAGATCTACAAGTTTCCTTAAGTGACTTTCAGTAAAAACGATCTTAGTTTTTAATAGCTAATGCACTAAGCAATCATACGGAATACTGGTAACTGAGAAACGTTAGAGTAAGAGAAAATCGAAAGAGTTAAGAAGAAGGAGTACCTTTCGTCTTTGCATTTTTTTCCTTCCGGTACTTGATAGCGGTGAGAGCGAGGTTCACAGCAATTGCGAGCAACGCAGCAGTTCCGGTGAAGGCGAGCAGGTTTCTACCTTTCTTCTGTTTGTCCATTTTCTCACACTTTCCTTCACTTTCCGTCATTTTCTATCCTCTTTTTGTCTTTTTCTTGCTCCCTCGGCGAGCGCGAAGGGAGATTTTGTCTTGGGCGGAAAATGAAATATGACGCAATTGAAATTTGACGCGAATTTCGCAATTCTAAAAACAAGAGAAAATGAGGCTTTGACTTTGATAGATTGGCCTAAATTTATTCAGAAGGAAACGCACGGTTTGGTTTCTTTCGGCCCATTGTCATTTGTGGGCCGGCCTCTGTTGACCCATTATCAGTTGTCATAACTCATAACAGTGAACCTCTTTGCATTTTGGGGCCTGTTAAAGACATCATTATTCATTCAATGCTGTCAAATAGATTTAGGTAGTATTTGGTTGAAGGTTTATGTTGGGATTGATGGAAAAGTGTAAGTGGATATTAAAAAATATCACGTTTGGTTCAAGTTTTTTCAAAAAATACCATACAAATAGGATAGATGGGAAAATGACTTTTGTGTTGATTTTTTGATGAAATTCACTGTTACAGAATACCACTTGAGATGTGGTATTTTGAGATAACTGGAGAAGTGAAAAAACAGGTGCAAAGTTTCTCCCGAACATAGATTTTGCATATTTAAGTAAATTTCCCTGGTAATATTTGGGTCAACCAAACAACTTTTTTTACATTTTCCTACCAAACTCGCTTTCCAACCATTTCCCTATCAATTACATTTCCCTAGTAAAAAAAAATTTCTCCCGAACCAAACACAACCTAGGTATATTTAGATATGTATGCAAAAAAAAAAAAAAAAAGTATATTTAGATAAGTCATTAAGATTGGTATAGTGACAAAGATTTGGGTAGTTTTATATTAGGTATGTGTTTAAATACTACCATTGTATCCAAAAATAAAAAAGTATGTTTAGATAGCAATTAATGTTTTTGATGTTGGATACAAGTATATAGGGCCATGTGGAGCTATATAAATGAAGAGAATAGAAAGAAAGAGAAAAACATTGGTCTCACATATTTTTATATGTATATAGGAAATAAAATTATCTCTTACAACATAAGAAACATTAATCTCATTTAGATAAGTTTGAAAAAAAATATTTTATAATATTTTATGTTATTTTTATTAAGTTACTTTTTTTTACTACATAAGTTACTGTTTTTTTATTAAAATTATGTAATTATCATAAGACTTGAAACATATTTTGAATTAAAAAATATTTTTTTTTATAAAAGTACCAACAAACTGCCCATTGCTTTTAGATAAGGAAAAAAATTGAACGCTGAAATATATTCTGTAAAGATGGACAAAGAGCATTTGAAATGTGTTTTTACGGAGAACAAACTTGGTGTAATTAAAATATGAGGAATTTGTTTCTCATCGCAAGAGAAATTGTCTCATGTTACACATTATCCTTAAAATATATAAGATTGTTGTTTAAGAGTATAAAATCATAAATAACGGCTCGCAGAAGAGAAGACTACATTGTTACTCGGGAAAATGGAGGATCTAAGGTATAATGGAAATGAAAATTTATGCTCAAAGTTATGCAAGAAATATAAAATACGTTTTTGTTGCCTGAGCTTTCGGCTAAGCGTGTATGTTCTTGTGGCAAGGCAATGAGCCATCCATGATCCATTAAGTAACATCAAGGAACAGAAAAGGAACAACGACCAAAAGAAGAGATAAAACAAGCAATTATCTTCCTGTACTGTATTTAACAAAATTAATTGCGAAACAATAGTTTGGATTTTGGTTTAACATTTGTACCAATAGAATATTGTACTAATAAATTAAGAAACGAATAGGATTATGATAAATTCTAACAACAAACTAAAGAAAGTGAAGGTGGAATTTATTTGATTCAACAAGGTATTTTCAGACAGGGACAACGCCAATTACACAATATATTGCATTCTTAATTCACAAGAGCCAGAGGGTTCTTAAATAATTAACACATATGATGATGATGTTTTCATCATTTCTGAGTTTTCTTGCGGAGTTCTTTTACCCATTTGAAGTTCATCACAGCCTTTCCAAATTTGCTCACACTCGACCCATCCTTGCCCTTCTTCTTGTCTTTCTCTGATCCCGGGAGAGGGTCTTGGTTGGTGTCCCATTGATCAGCCCAGGACGTTCCAGAATCCATATTTTCGTTTGGTGTTGTTTTGGTTTAGGAGAAATTTTTAGCTGAGTTGCAACTCAAGAGAAATATTTCAAACCTGTCATTTACTTATTATAACTCTTGTAGGATGTGGATCCTTTTCTTTCATTTGAATCAACGAATATTTTTGGTAAAAAGTTAGTTAAGCTGGAATGCTCTCATTTGGGACACGCCTTGTCTAAATTAAACCTGATGCCACTTTAAATAGCTTTTTGTTCTTAAATTTTGGTCACCTATGTCCTTGTGGATTGAGGTTTTATTGCATATCTATTTTTTAAGTATATAATTCCACTATTCAGATTCTTTTGTTTTGACTTTTGACTAAGAGAGAGAATGAAAGAGAGGGCGGTTTACATGGTACTGGCTTGAGCACTTGATACCTCTAATCAGCAATAAAATTCAACATGAATTCCAACCTGTTAGGTCCTGGATAGATCGTATTGCTATACCGTAGAGTATGTACTTAGAGATAGTATATATCAACTGTATATTAGGTTTATAGCCGAGGTCTCAATCACTGCGCACAAGCAATAGGCTTATAGCCAAGAGGTGGGTGTGTGCACAGCGTGGGCAAAAGTAGTAAATGAGTTCTGAGTGTTTACAATTTTGCAACCTATCTAACATAACAGCTTTGCCTCACTAGCTACATGTCTCCTTTGCTCCCAACAGCACAAAACAGCGCTAGTATTTGATAAAGGGATAGGATCCGTTTACAAATTTTTTTTACAAATTACATTAAGTAGGACCGGTCGTACACTGCATGATTAAAGTATGACCGGTCGTATTTAGTGTAGTTTGTAAGAGTTTGTAAACAAAAAAGTTTGTAAATATAACCTGCCCCTTTGATAAATAATAACCATTGACACAATCAGAAAAATAAATGGTACAGGAACATGTTTGCTAAATTTCTCCTGATACTGAAATTCTTAAAAAAAATACTGTTATTTTAATTTTGCATTATAGTCCTAACACAACATAAACTCAGTCGGTGTCATTACTTTAGAAATTAGAATTTAACAATTCAAGTATAATTCTATATCAAGCCCAATCAGTCACATAATATATATTTAAGTAGTAGGGAGGTGTTTCCACTGTCATGGGGAAAATTAGTTTAGCATTAGTAGGTGTTATTACAACTATTCAACAATTCAAGTAAAATTCTACATCAAACCCACCTAAACAGGTCCACTCAATGGAATATTATGACATCGTTGTTTCCTTAGGGAGGCTTTTTTGTCACTGGTAATCATGTAGAGCTTTCTTATCATTTGGGTTAATTAGGCTGTTTTGGGTTGTTGGTAAAGCATCCACACTGACATGGAAGTTTACGTGAGCCAGTGTGTGGTTGGGCAACATGTCTTATGGTTTGCATAAATGGTGCAAATGTGTCTACTTCGATAGAATTACTATGGTTGAATAATGGGATAAGATGGTTCACCAATTGTTAATAGCGTTTCTGCAAGATACAAGGTTGGATATGCCAAAAGGAGGTCTACAACATGGAGAGTACATAGAATAAGTCAACAAGGTATTCAATATTTCCATATAAGGAGAGAATGAATAAATGCTGAAGAAGAAATGATTATTAACCTTTGAATTAAGGCTGAGAAGTGAGTGGTTAATTGTGGTAGGTTTGTTTGGATAGGGTCATGATTGGATGGGCTCACTATGGGTCCAATTATCCATTTGTTAGCCATTTAAATTTGGTAAGGATTATAGAAAATTCAAATTATTCATCACCCATTTTTTATTAGAAAGAATCAAAGAATTAGACACAACCAACCCATTTTGAACTCCTGGCACACAGTGACGGCACATGTCGTGCACCTAAAATAAAAACATACTAAATTTGTAAGTCCTTTTTTTTTTCCAGTAAAGACTACTGATTCTAAATTTTAGGGCAAACTTTCTTTTTGGACTCCTTACATGTCAATTTTATTTTTAAGAAGAAGCTTTATTGACTGATTAATAATTTGAATTTGGAAAGCAACTTTTGAAATTTAAACCTGTTTTTAACTTATTTATTTCTTTTTTTTCCTTGAATAAAAAAATTGATAGTAATATTAATTTTCTAACTGAGAGACAGACATGTTGATTACCAAAAATAAAATAAAATAAAAGAAGAAAAAAGTTATTCTCATGCTACATGTGAGCAGAGCCGTCAAAATGGACTCGGCTTGGCGGGCCAACTCGTCCAACCCGCCAAACGGGACGGGGCGAGCTGAGTTTTTCAACCCATCTCAAAAGCAGGGCGGACTCATTTTTTGGCGGGTTGATGGCGGGCATAAGCGGGGCGAGACGGGTCAGTGTAAAATAGGCTCGGGCTGGCAAGCCAACCCGCCAAACCGGGCGGGGCGGGGCGGGACGGGCTGACTCATTTTTTGGCGGGTTGATGGCGGGGTGGGGCGGGCCGCCCACTTTGCCACCTCTACATGTGAGATAAGTTTTCTTTCCTACACACCCTTCAAAAACTGTGACATATTTTTTTTTTGAAATATTCCAATCGGTTCATTGCTTCGCAATTAATCCAATTCGGAGCGGGTCCAGGATTGAGGCTTTAAACTCCTCCCAAAGGTGACACTGGAGAGATTCAAACACATACTCTCATCTCCACCTGCTTAGTGCGCCAACTGAGCTACCAATATTTGGTGTGGCATATTTTTTTTAGTTGATGAAACTCACAAATTTATCTATATGACATGAGATAATTTATCCCCTTCAATTAATAAAACCCATAAAAAAAAAAAAGACAGACATGTCCACCTCAACCTCATCCCCCAATACCCCGCACACAAAAAAGCCTTTACTTCACGCTGACAGATACAGAAACCCTTAAGCTCTCACCTTGTGCCATTGCTTCACCAGAGATAATAGTAGAAAACACTTCAAAATTTTTACCCAACCCAATATTTCTTCTCTTAAAAAGTTACAAATTTTACAACAGACAACACAAGAATCGTTGGTTTTCTCTTTCTCTTTCTCTTCTGCAATTGAATCCAAAACAAACCCTGAAACCGATTTCAAACACAAATAGGGGAAGCATATAGATAGCATGTATTTATCAGAAAAACCTCGTCCCATCGATTTCTACAAAGAAGAAGGGACGCGAGACATGATGATCGAGGTGGTCTCGAACGGCGAGCTTCCGCCGCCGCCACAGCACCACCAGCAACCGCCGCCGATGATCCTCGGCGAGAGCAGCGGCGAGGATCCCGAGGTTGAGATAAAGGCACCGAAGAAGCGCGCGGAAACTTGGGTGCAGGACGAGACGCGAAGCCTCATTGCGCTTCGGCGCGAGATGGATGCGCTTTTTAACACTTCAAAGTCGAACAAGCACTTGTGGGAACAGATATCGGCGAAGATGAGGGAAAAAGGGTTCGATCGTTCACCAACTATGTGCACCGATAAGTGGAGGAACCTTTTGAAGGAGTTCAAGAAGGCTAAGCACCAAGATAGAGGAGGAAGTGGCTCTGCGAAGATGTCCTATTACAAAGAGATTGATGAGATTCTCAGAGAAAGAAGCAAGAGTGTGCAGTACAAAAGCCCTACTCCTACCCCTAAAGTTGATTCTTTTATGCAGTTTGCTGATAAAGGTGATTAATTCATTACGTCCTTTTGTTTTGCTTATCTAGTTCTATTTTTTTATCTGGGTGTTAAGGATTCGTTTAATTGAATGGTGTAATGTTTGATTTCCTTTGTTATGCAATCATAATACTTATTTGACCTCTGGGATGGGTGTAATGCATGTTAATGGTTTAATTTTGATGCAGTCTCTGTATAAATTTGTTTTGTTTTTATACTGCCTTTCAGATCTTATGTTGCACATCATTAAAACAATGTGACATTTGAGGTAATTGTTGTAACTTGTGAGAGTCATACTTCTTTTGTGGCAATGCATGATTTGGTGATAGTGTAAAAATCTTTTATACTGACAGAGCATTATACTTAAATCTTAGAGGTTAACTCCAATTCTAGTTAGACAACCATGCACTGGTGTTGGTGTTGGCTGTAACTCGACTCAAACGGCCTTGGTAGCAACTACTTACTGCCAAGGTAGTGTTTGGCTCGGGAGAAAAAAAAAATTACTAGGGAAATGTAATTGATAGGGAAATGGTTGAAAAGTGAGTTTGGTAGGAAAATGTAAAAAAAGTTGTTTGGTTAACCCAAATATTACCAGGGAAATTTATTTAAATATGCAAAATCTATGTTCGGGAGAAACTTTGCACCTGTTTTTTCACTTCCCCAGTTATCTCAAAATACCACATCTCAAGTGGTATTCTGTAACAGTGAATTTCATCCAAAAATCAACACAAAAGTCATTTTCCCATCTATCCTATTTGCCTGGTATTTCTTAAAAAAACCTGAACCAAACGTGATATTTTTCAATATCCACTTACACTTTCCCATCAATCCCAAAATAAACCTTCAACCAAACACTACCCAAGAGTAATGCTAGTTACCCAACCTTTATTAGAAAATTGCTTATGAAGCTGCATCTAAGTTTAACAGGAAGTGGGAACATTTAACATCTGATGCAGATGCGTCAGACAATTTGTGCCTTATCTGTATTGGAAGCTGTAATCGGCCATAAAGTAGCTGGCCCACTAATCACATGATTAAAGCAATTACAACCTTCTTAAATACTTCCTTCAAATTATTCTCATCTTTCTCTCCCTACCAATCTTTCATTCCCGCCTCCCGCCTCCCTCCCCCCTTATCCTCTGTCATTTTCTCTGCAATTCTTCTCACTCCAGAAATTCCTTAATACATTAGTCGAAACCAAACCGTGTGTAGTTTCCCAGTTCCAACAAATTTTGTCCAAAAAGAAGGGGTACTTCTTTATCTTTTTCTAACATTCTTGGTTGGGAGTTGGGAATATTAGGCTGTGCTTCTTGTCTTACAAAATGGGTATACTAAGACGGAACACTTAACTGGGAAAACATAACTGCCAGATGCATTTTCCAAATTTGGTCCAAAAAAGTGCATCTTGATTAAAATTGCTGATTTTGACATGCATTGATTGGTTTTTATACCTTTAGCTTTTGCTCCTCATTATTATCTTGCGAAACAGAAATTTGAAGTAGTAAAGATGAAGCTTTCAGTTGCCCTGTATAACTATAGGAAGTTTCCTTGTCTTGGTTGAAACTCCACCCTTCAGTAATGAGCCTCTGCCTATATCCATTGATTTTAGGCTTGATAGTCGATAGCTGTGTTATTTATGTCTATGCTTATTATTTTTGACAAAGGACAGTATAAATCACTACAATTTAAAGGTTCCCAAGGGGATTTAACTCCTATCCTGTTGAACTATCATCCACAAGTGAAGCCATTGTAACTTTTCCGGGTTATCATTCCTGAGTCATGACATTCGAATGTCTGTCCAGTTACAGCTTCACTCATTTCGACTTCAGGAACAGTTTTTGACTGGTTATGTTGCTGTACAGGTATTGATGACACCAGCATCTCTTTTGGGCCTGTTGAAGGTATGTCATTGTGATACAACTGTCAGTTTCCTACTTTGTACTCTGTATTTTGTTCCCTTGTGTTCTTAGATTATTTCATATTTTGTAGCACACGAATTATATAGGATTTTAATTCCATGTAACTTTTTGGTTTATTTCTAGATTGTTATACTTGTAAGTAACTAGTGTACACTACATTCAAGTCACTTGAAACATGCATGTGGAATTCTAAACTATTATAAGGAATAACCATGCTGATGTACTCACATGCATTGCATGGAAATTAACCACTACCATGGATGACCTTTTAGCATTCTGGTAAATGTTTTCACATAATGAAATGATGGAAAGTTTGGGACATATAATGAAACAAGAATTCAAATGCCCTACTCTGTACGAATGTTCTGGTTATCTTATTTTACTAGAAGCTCATTCAGTTTATGTGTGGCCGGGTATTTATTTCTTCTTCTTCATATAGTGGGAGAAAGTGTTATTGCTGCTTATTGCTTATCATATATCGGTTTCTCTAAATTAAAATGTCTAGTAACTCAATGGGTTTATTTGTGTCCAGTTAAGTATTTGTTCATATAGTGGGAGGAAGTATTCATACTGCTTATTGCTTACCATTTATCAGTTTTTCTAAATTTAAGTGTCTGTATTTTGCAGAATTTTAATGGTCCAAATTAGTACTAATTATAACTTGTTTTAGCATTTTGGAAACAAAATGAAGATTTTACCAATTCAGGAGAAGGAATCTTTATTGAAAAGGATTTAGATGTATGTTTGATCTTATTTAGATGTCTACCCATTCGTTAATTCCATAGTAGTAGTTGCCACTTCATGTTTATCATTATTCTTGAATACTTGGCATTTAGCTACTGGAAGACCGACACTCAATCTTGAGAGAAGTTTGGATCATGATGGACATCCTCTTGCCATTACCACAGCTGATGCTGTTGCAGCGAGTGGAGTTCCCCCTTGGAATTGGAGAGAAACTCCCGGAAATGGTAAGCTATGTAAAGATTCTTAGTTTGATGCGTGCTTGCTCACCGTGAATAAGAATGACAATGGATTGTTTCATGTCTTGGTAAATGTACTGTAATTGTAGCTGCATCCTGGGTTTATATTTAATCAAGTTTTGTAGAACCTTAAAAAATAAATATAAATAAAAAATAAAATAAAATTACTCCCCATTAAACCCCTATTAGCAAGGGTGGGGTGAGAGCAATTTTTGTACGCAGCCTTACCCTTATATAATTGCAAAGAGACTGATTCCTGAATTCAAACCCGTGACCTTTCAGTAACAAAGAAACAGTTTTATCACTGCTCCAGGCTCACCCTCTTTGTAGAACCTGAAAAACATAGTAAAATAAATTTAGTAATTCCATACCCCAAAAAAACAATATGGAAACAAAAAAGGACTAGTTTCTCCCTCCTTCTTTAGCTTAATTACTTTCTTGTTTCTGCTACCAATTCTTCCTATTTTGGCAGGTGCAGAAAGCCAGTCATGTTGTGGAAGGGTTATATCAGTCAAATGGGGAGATTACACAAGACGAATTGGCATTGATGGTACTCCGGAAGCCATCAAGGAGGCAATTAGGGCTGCTTTTAGGTTGAGAACTAAACGTGCTTTTTGGTTGGAAGATGAAGACCTGATAATTAGAAGTATTGACCGTGACATGCCTATAGGAAATTACACTCTTCACCTCGATGAAGGTTAGTCTCAGCTTATTCTTGTAGCTACTGTTGTGATTTGTGCAAATTCAATGTTTTCATTTCACTTTAATGTCTAGATGCTTTAATGTAATTTTAAAATTCATTGAGTTTGTGGAATCCCTTAAACTCCAGTTCACTCTAAATATTATGATGGTGATTAATATTAAAAATATTTCATTCTCCTTTTTATATTGGGAATATATGATTGCTGTAACACTAAATTATCATTGCAGGAATAGCCATTAAAGTATGCCTCTATGATGAGTCTGATCATATCCCTGTGCATACTGAAGAGAAGATATTTTACACTGAAGATGATTACCGCGATTTTCTGACACGCCGGGCTTGGACATGTCTAAGGGAATTTGATGGCTATAGAAATATAGACAATATGGATGATCTTCGACCTGGTGCCATATATCGTGGTGTGAGTTGAGAGCAGGTGCATGGTATGATCAATCTTCCGCTATTTGCATAAATGTCTAGAGAACTATGGGTAACCTGGAACTGCATGTGTTTAGTTTTTGTAATGCTGTTTATAGTCTATGATAGGAAAATGAACAAGTCCCTCTGCACAAATTCCGTCCCCGTCATTGGCCTCAACATGTCTGTAAATATGAATTTGCAAGGAGAACATATCATTGTCAAGATTTATATTAGGATCATTTTCATCACCTATTTTTATTTATTTCTATGTTGTTCACCTGGACAGTTGCGTGTTTTTCTGACACGCTGCCTAAGCAGGGAGTCTTCTGAACCATTGTAACTGTTACCTTTAATCAGATGAACTTTTGTTTGGAATTTATTACTTGTCAGGAGTCCTCAGAATTCTATGTGGCAAACCGTGAAACTGATTTTACATCCAAAGGGAAACAAGATGTGACATATTTAACACAAGCAGACTGGCTTCCTGGAAGTGGAAATCTTAGTAAAGGGAGCTGTTGGGTTTGCTCGAAATTGCTGTGGTAACTATTAAGGGCTGCGCAGCTTGTTTGAGTACTAAACCAGTTAATGGTAGAACCGTGTTTCATGCATGCATGTCTCACATGGATTTACCTTTGTCTCCAAACTCATTGAATTGTTATAAACTTATAATATACACTTAGATACGTTACTCCGAATGCTTTTAAAAGCGTGCAAGAAAATTTCAGGAGATTTCAGCGATGCCTTGCTGTGTTGAACGTAGATACCAACAGCAACAGCGTGTGGATATATTATAGTATATATTGGCTTGGTTGTTGCCTGCATTTATTTTGGGTTCTTGTGAAAGTCAAGCGTTGTTTTTTTGGTCCTCTTGGGCTTTTTGTGCGTAATGGTTTTATTCGTTGCGTATTTCTATCTCTCTTTTCTTTGTGTAAGAAACAGGGCTGAGGTCCAAAAGAAAAGAAATAAACTAATCTTAAACATTACAACAGTGGGCAAGTTTAGAAATCCCTTACCAAATCAGCTTGTATTAACGAGTTTAATTCTCTTGGAGGATTGGCACATCTCTTCTTTGAGGAAAGTTTATATGTTGTTATCCCCCTAAAAACACCACAGCAACCTGCCATTCTTTATTGATAAAGTTAAATTGTTATAAAAACACTCCCTGATACAGGAATCGTAAATTACGTGAAACTTGAATGGGGTATTGAAAAGCTTCTTCGATGTGAAAGTGGAAAGGAAAAATAAATTAAGTGGGATTTCAATATTTTCTAAGCATGCATTTCTTGTTCTCCTTGTTTCATTGGGCGAAAGATGTGGGTTGAAAACTTAACCAACATCTACGAGATCTTCGTACCCAAAGAAACCAACATCTACGAGATCTTCGTACCCAAAGACTTCAACCATCTCTGGAACATAATTTCAGTAACTCATCGTAATTTATGTATTTTGTAAGGAAAAATAAGTGGGATTTCAATATTTTCTAAGCATGCATTTCTTGTTCTCCTTGTTTCATTGGGCGAAAGATGTGGGTTGAAAACTGAACCAACAACATCTGCGAGATCTTCGTACCCAAAGACTTCGACCATCTCTGGAACATAATTTCAGTAACTCATCGTAATTTATGTATTTTGTCCGTGGCTGTAACTCCTTGTTTTTGGAAGATTTGCATATAGTATGACTGATATTCTAACTCCGCGAATTAATAGACTCGGAGTGATTCATACATAAAATGATAAAATCATAAAATTGAAATAATAGTCGTCGAATTAGAATTCTGAAAAGAGTAGGGAAATTTCTTGAGATTCCCCCATTACATGGCAATTCTTTTCTGCCACATACATCAGCGAGGTTTAATAACTATATTGCCCATCCACATTAGTACACACATCTAACAATGTGAATAGAAAATTCACAACTGGTACATCTGACAGTAGCGAATTCACTCGAGACCTTGAGGGAGAAAAAAAACACAGAAGCTGAATAAAACAAGAGAAAGACATAGACGGGTTCTATTACTCATCCCATTCGTCATTCTTGTATGAAACAAGTGTGTCAACCTTGTGAATCTGCACAGCCAGAACAACCCATTAGTAACAGTCAAATTAACATAACTATGTCAAACAAATAACCAAATTGCAAAAATCCATATTCACCTTGGTATCGAAGGAATGCAATTTCACCATTTGCGGATTTGCAATCAGTTTTGGATCACTCTCAATCCAAGTGAATGGAACTGCCACATCTTTGTCAGTATATGCCAACACATCAAAAACACCTGAAACAAGATGGCAGCCATGCTCAGCTGGGAGATGAGAATAAAAATAAAATCAAGAAGAAGATGCACAGGACGTGGCAATTCTTACAAGGTTCATCCAGGCATGGCAAATAGGTGATACTCGAAGCAATCTGCCTCATAATCGCTTGTATCTCTCTCATGATTTCCTTGTCACTCTTTTCCCTCGACACACTAAAAGATTAAAGAAAAAGAAAGAAAAGCGTAAACCAAGGGAGAAAATCATGAAGGAAGAAAATCTAGACTGGGATTCAGTTATGCAAATTACACACCCTTTCTCAACAACTTCACTGTCGGTCTCAATGCTGAAGTTCCACCTTTCAAGGACTTCACTAGTGGCCTTGCTCATTATAACAAGGACAATCCTCTGTAACTTGCCAGATTCAAGCCATTCTTTTCAACATTTAAAATTCAAACAAGTCAATCATCAGCAATGGTCAACAATGATATCACACAACTGAATCACTAATTCTCCATTTAAGTAGGTTTAACTTAAAAGCATTTATAAGACAAGGAAGCAAACATTAATCATAAAATTGATTCAAACTCAACACCATTTTTTAAAACGAAAACATAAACATTCCCAATTCATTATACCAGATACTATGAAAAATTTAATCCGAAACAAAAAATCACAATTAAACAATGAATTGATTGATTTAATTTCTCTACAGCTTCTTTGTGATGAAGGAAATTAAGGGGCTTTGATTACCAGAGAGCTGAGCAGTTAGATTGGCTATGAAAGATTTGACACCTTCATCTTCAGTAAGCAACATGGGGAGGCCATATTTCTTCACCTTCACAAAGCTTTCTTCTGGATAAACTGCACGGTTGTAAAGGATGCTGAACAAAATTCCCAGTTAAATTTACACTTGTTAATGTCACATAATTCCCAGCCACATAATTGGGATATGAAAAATAATAATTCCAAGAAATAAAAAATGCAGGACCCAGAGGATCAAACCTGTTGGCAGCATATCCTGATAAAAATAAAAATAAATCAGACATAACTTCCTAGAGTGTAAAATACCCAAATATGCAGAAATGAAAGAAATCGGAGGAGAAAAGGGAATAACGAAAAGAAAAAGAGGGATATGAATACCGAAAAACTCGCTAACGATTGCTGCTGAACCACGAAGAGTGATTATGTCTTTGGCAACTGTTCTTGCGGCCATTCCTTTTTTTTACCGTTATGTATAACACGCCTGGGTTCAGAAATCAGAGTCTTGATTGCTAAGAAGAAGGAACAAAGAATGTTGAAAGGTTTAGATGCCAAAGCGATAATTTCGATTATGGAATCGGAAGAACAGTTAGTAGGGTTCGTGGATAATTTCGATATTGGAATCGGAAGAACAAAGAAGGAACTGATTTGAAAAGGGGGAAGAAGAGGGCAAATAAATTAAGGGTTCGTGGAGCAAACAGAACTTGAAGAGAAAGCAGTGTAACGGCTAGTTACTTGTCTTTTTTTTATACCGGTGTTTCTCATTTTAATTCACATAAATTATTAAAAAAATAAAAATCATTAAAGAAAGAAAGTAAATAATTTTTTTTAATTTAAAATTTAAATAAAAAATCATTTTGTGTCTATCTCTCTCTAAAAATAATATAACTTTATCTCATTTAAAAACACTTTTCCCTTTATTTTGTGTGGGTTCCATTTGCGCCTTTGTTGGGCTTGAACTTTTATGTCACTGTATACATTTTAAAATTAAATTTGCGTATTTAACGGTAAAGTGTAGGATTCCCCTTTTGCGATTCTCATAATTTTGTGTGCTCGTGCATAGGTGGGTCCTTTGTCTTCTGTAAGCATCTTTCATAAATGTTGATTTGAGTTTCTCACTTTCTCTTATTATTTATCGTAGGTTTTTTAAGTTTTCGTTCAACCTAAATATTTTATAAAGGTATGCTAGTTTAATATAATCTAAAATAACATAAATTAATGTTATTTTAAATGAAATTATAATAATTTTATTTAAATGACACAAATTTGTGTCCTTTGAATGAAAAATATTTTTTCTTTTATAAAAACCATTGATTGAGTTTAATTTTTTTTTAAAGTTTTTAATTTTTAAATTAGTATTGTTTTTAATGAAATAAGTAAATAACCATATTATGTATATTTATAATGTATTGCGTTAACATTTAAATAATAATTTTATCTATAAAAATAAGGGAAAGATATTGTAACAACCAATTAGTGTTATTATCAATGTTACTACCAATTCCCGAGATTTGAAACTTTATATTTATTTTCACTTTTTTATGGTTATAATTTTTCATATTTAATTTTTTCACATTAAATATGTGGAATCATAATCATACAAAGATAAAAATAAATATAACCGTTGGATTAACATAATCAATCTAAAGGTGAAATTGATTGGTAGTAACATTGGTAGTAACACTAATTGGTTGTTACAATATCCTACCCCTAGTTAATTTAAAAAATTAATTTACTCATATTTTTGTATTAAGTTATTTGGGGCATTCTATAAGGTATAGCTCATTTTAATAACAAAATTTTTTTCTCTGGCTTTCCTTTTCTTTTTTTTGATAACATTCTCTGGCTTTCTTAAGAGGAACTAAATGATACATTTTGACCCATTTGTATATGAGCATACTATAATTTGTATATCAATTTTACATAAGCTAATTATATACAATTTTTTTGAACAATGTATATGGTTATTAATTAATTTATTTTTGATACATGATATGAATTTTTAGTCTATTCATCGAAAAAAATATATAATTAAACTTATACACAGTTAATTAAAGCAAAGCAGATGCAACCAAAATAGAATGAAGAATATTTTGTATTTTGGTTCAAGCTTTAATCGGGGCTTGGATCGAATCTCAAGCTAGAGGACTGGTTCGGATCCAATTTTTGACATGTGCTGGAAGCTACGCATTTGCGTAACATTCGCATCTCAAAATACGTGGGGCCTCAATAGTGGTTTCAGCCCACGGGTTTTTCATTATTCAGATCTATTGGTCAGTCAAAACGGTTCGTTTTCTTAGTCGTTCTGAATATGATATCATTAGAGTATGTCATAGTTTTCTGAAGTTATTGTAATTGCTTAATTGCTTCAATGATTGATTGCTTCATTTTGCAGGATTACTAGCGACCTATGGTTGAACTTGATGCAAGAAGCTCATGTGGATAACATTGACCAGCCCACAGATAAAAAGTATATGTCTTAATTGAAGTCTTTGTGTCACAGTCTTGACTGTTTTTCAGACCAAACATTATAGGTCTTTCGATTCTTACTGTGATTTTTGTGTCGCTGGTTTCTTTTCTGATTTGTTGTGATTAAGAGAATGAGGCTAGCATGTTATGTTTTTTTGTTGGAAAAAATTTAATCACTGTGCTGCACAAGCACAGAAGTGAGTGATTAAACACTCTCCTTTGTTCTCGTTTATTTGTCTCTGGTATTGTTAAGTAATGGTAAATGCTTAGGGTTAAAGTCTCATTGGTTGAACAAATCACCTAAATTTCAATTTTGGACAAAGGAAAAAGAAAAGAGTAAAAGAACAGAAATTAAAATGGGAAAGGACAAAGATTTGTTCTAGTGAAGAAATTATTAGAGTATATAGAAACAGCGTTGTTAATAGGCATGCAACTCATGTTCACTAAAAGGGATAGAGTAAATGAGATGTAGAACTTAGTTTCCGTGATATTCTAACAAAGATGGGTCAACGATGGCATAAATTGATTCAACGCAACAATTAAATCTATGCAGTCGTTTAATACATATTTTCCTCAAGCATGTACACGTAATTTTATATGAAGTCTTTAGTTGTGAAGTTTTAATAATAAAAACTTGGAATAGGTATAGAGGAAATAATAATTTCAGGCACAAGAATTCTTTTGAGGATCACTATTTTCACTTAGAATTACTTATGACTCAATGTTTGATTATCACTTGTAAGTTCCTTTTTATCTTATCTTGATGAAATTGTCAATTAAACTCAAAAAGCTTGAAATTAATCATTTGACAACTACTAACTAGGAAACCACATTTGTTGAGAAAATTGAAGGTAGACGACTGAGGATCCTTTTTGTCTATAATGCATGATAATTTCTAATAACAGCATCCAAGAAAACTGATGAAGACCATTTGTAAATGTAAAATATAAAACTTTATTATTAGACAAATCGAATGTCATCAACAAATTACACAATCATCATATATCCAATATCTGAAAAATCAAATTCATTTGTCCTACTTCTCAACTCACAATACCAGACAGCCAAAAATCAATTCCAAGAATCAAATTTATGGAACAGAAAATTTGGCATTTGTTTTAGTTTGGATCAGAGAAGAACTTGTTGATGGATGGCATAATTTGAGGGCTCTTATTGCGGACAAACTTCCTCACGCTATGTTGTGAATATTTCTCACCCTCTGCAAAATTCTCAAGAACTCCTGCAGCTCTCTTCTGTTTGGTTACCCTGAAAGCAGAATCAAATATAGATCAGAATAGTTACAAAAGATGCAAATATGTGTACACACGCTGTAGCATGTCCATAGTAGTTAAAATTGGAATTTTAACTACTATCAGAAGAATGATAAAAAATCCTAAAACATAAAATCCTAACTAAAAAGAATCGTCAAAATTCGTAAAAGCGTTTGAAATTTTGATAAAATCGTTTTGATAAAAAAACAAATCATAAAATCATAAAAACGCAAATCGTAAAATCATAAAAAACTCATATTTAAATTGGAATTTTAACTACATTAACATGTCAATATTTGCACCTACCTTTAATTTCAGCAAAATAGAACTAAAACCACAAAATATCATACATAATCTGGGGAACAGATCCAAAGAAAGGTATTATGAAAATTTTCAGCAACGATTATGGTGCAGTTATACATAGCTTCTACTCTACTTCTAATAATCCATTAAAGGAACCAAATTGGCCGATGATTTGTATTTTGACAGAGGAAACATTGGATCTGAATAAATCAAAAGAAGTCCAAACCAACAACATATAGCAAAACCATAAAAAACAAAAGATCTATACCTGACTTCGGGATTGGTAGTTATATTCCTAACAAGTTGCATACCGCAGATCCCAACAGCCAAACCAACTGTGGCAAAAAGTGGGTATACCTATTCACGTGAAAAGAAACAAAACTCGTTTAGGATATATATATCATCACATCTTAATCGGTCCCTCGTAATGCAATGAAATAAATATCTCAGAATAGATCTGAGCATATTAGATGCAGCCACAGCCAAGAACACGATAAAACATATAAAAAACATAACTGTATTATGTACTATATATATATAAAGAGAGAGACAGAGACAAAAAAAGGAAAAAGAAATCGGGAAGTACCTCAGGTCTTAACCATCTGTTGGTAGCCATGTCGAGAAGAGAGACAGGAACAAGAGAACAGAACAAAAGAAGAGATAGATAGATAGATGCTCCGCCTCCGAGGAAACTTATGAAACAAGAAGGATGCGGAGCAAAACTTAAGACCAATTGGTGAATGTGGGGGGACAGGTTTATATGTGTGAATGCGATACGAAAATCGTGGGCTTTATGCAATAACCCGAGAAATTCGAGAAGCATGTGCGTTCCAAATGCAAAGAATAGGTCAGCAATGCGCGACCGCCGTCTATGGTAATTAATTTTTTGCTTTGAATTGTGATCGAATGAAATTGAATGGTTGCCTTCCTAATTCAACAGGAGAGTGACAATATTATCACGTTTTGGACAAAAAAATTATCAGAGACAACGTCAAAATGTCACGCGACATAATTCGCTACACAGTGTAGCGAAGAGAAATACGTCACGTTAGAACCAAAAAGGTGACATGTCAAGCGAATTTCTCAAAATTTGACATGTGGCATTTTTGGTTCTGACGTGGCATAATTCGCTACACTGTGTAGCGAATTATGCCGCGTGATATTTTGACAAAATTTACTATTAGCGTGACAGTCTGATAATTTTTTTGTCCAAACGTGACACTTTGATCACTGTTCCTAATTCAATTCCTTGGCTTTCAAATTTTGACCTTCCATTTTAGATTTTTTTTTATTTTTTTTTATTTTTTGGTTACAGAATATTAATTTTAAAAGAATATTGATTTCTTTTTCTTCACGGAGAATATTCTTCATCATTATTTAGTATATGCCTAACCATAGTGGCACTATTCCTTTTAAAAGATTTGTTAATTTTTCCAAAGAAATCAAAATAGTGCTTTCTTAATCTGCGTGAAGACCAAGGTGGACGAATCAAACTTGAACAGCCTGTCTCTGCCTAACACCATCAAACAAAGTGTATTAAAATGTGAGTCGCTTTATTTTCTCAATTAGAAAAATTGGAAAATTGAACCAATTTTTTTATTTTTTTTGGAAAAGTGAATACTAGTAAATAACTTAGTTAAGTATAATAAAAGTGAGCAGCACATAAACCTATCATACACCCACGTTAATACAGAATATGAGATACACTTTGATATGTCAATTTTAAAAAATATTGAATTTTAATATGTTAGGTCACGTTTTGATATTAAATAATATTTTTAATTTATGTAGTGTATATTATATTCAATATTCAATAATTTAACAAAAAAAAGTAAGCTAAATTTATAATATCAATCAATTTTGTAAAAAAACATAAGATATTTTAAATATTTATATTAAATTCAATAAAATGGTAAACGTAATTCAATAAATTTAATAGTTGGAACTAAAAACGCAACGCAACATAATCTTTGAATCCTTTTTTGAGGCTCTACAATACGAGAGTTGAAGTGTCAGAAAGTATCGAAATATCGAAAAGTGTTAGACACAACACGTCAAAATTTTTAAAGTGTCCGTGTTGATAGCCCTAAATTGTCTCCTGATGGTGTCGTGGTGTAGTTTGTTTATTTAATTTTTTGAAATTTTAATAATTATAATTAGTTCTTTTCTGAGAGTTCAAATCATCCTTCGACCTTCTAGATGTTTTGAATTTGTAACAAAACCTATTCGGCTTGTTGCGTGTACAAAGCAGCCCATAGACATAATTCATGAAGTGTTTATTTTTCATGGTAGCACTGAGGTAAAGCTTTGATCCTTGCCATTCATGGTGTTCTTAATATTTTAGTAAGTCAGCAGCAGGTTATTATAGATGAACAGTGACACAACGTGAAGACTGATGTCAGGCATCACGCTCATGCCCCACCATTTGATTATATACATACAATGACATACTATCGGTGAATAATAGAAAGGGGTCAACGAAAAAAATTAATAATTACAAATTAAAAAAACAAGGGTTTTTATTTGCAATTATTATATTGATACCTTTTTTTTAATTTGTAATTATTATTATTTTTTGGTTGACCCCTTTCCATAATTCACCAATAGTATGTCATAGAGAGAGATTTTTAATTTGCAGTTGTTAGGTGAACAATGTCAATGGTGTTCTCTCTCTATATATATAACTTTCTTTTATAACGATTAACTTAATTTAAATTTTTTATTATTTATTCTCACTCCTAAAATAAATCTTGTCTTAAAAATCTTCTTTCATCTTTAAATTACTTATTTTCATATTGTTTATATGATATTTCAACTTTATGAAAAATATCAAAACAAAGTTTGAGAACATATCTTATTTTTTCACAATATACAAAGCTCAAAAATACATCTAAATTTTTTCTTGTAAAATCAATTGTATATAATGCTAACAAAACTATACATTATTTTATTTTAAAAATAAAAAGTAGTAATTGAAAAATTTATATAACTCCATATAATTTATAAATTCATTTTAATCCAATCACAAAAAAAATAAAGTAATTTAAAATAAAATTATATGAGAATTAATTCAAAGAAGGAAGAATAGGTTGTCAATCCTATTCCACATTGATAATTGATGTACTGACATATGGTTACAGCATGTGATAACATATGGTTGACATTAGGATAATTGATGTAGGTTTGTGTTCTACTAAAACTAGGATTTATTATGAGAAATATTTTGAAAATTAAATGATAATTGTGTCATTAAGTTAAAACTATTTTAAAAAATAAAATTTAATAATATTATTACTTAACATTTATGTTGCATCGACACCGACACGGAACTGGGGATATGACACGACACGATACTCCGATACGTTAATTCTAAAAACTATTAAATTTCGACACGTTAGAACACATTTTGATATTATATAATATTTTTAATTTATGTAATGTATATTACATTTAATATATAATAATTTAATAAAAAATAAAGCTAAATTTACAATACGCATCAATTTTACAATAAAACATAAGATATCACAAATGTTTATATTAAATTCAATAAAATAGTAATCGTAATCCAACGACTCTAATAGTTGGAATTAGGGGTGTTAACGAGCCGAGTCGAGTCGAGCCGAGCTTTGGTCTTAACGGGCCGATCTTGTGTTCAAATGTGTCAGACTGGCCTTAGCCTGTTACCTGCTACGAATAGAATATCAGCCTGTGGCCTGACTCATTTACAAAAAATAAAAGCCTTGTTTAGTCTGTTTAAAAAAATATTACAACAAAAATTTATCCAAACAAAATATACAATTAACAGCACAAGTAATTCCATAAATATTCATAAATTTAATGTATATCCAAATAACATAGTATAAAACAAAATCATTTAAAAAGTCTATTTAATTAACAAAATGGGATGAAATGAATTAAGAAGAGAGAGAGGACTATCACAAGTAGTATAAAAAATAAAATAAAATAAAAATAATAATATATTAGGCAAGCCTGAAAAGCTCTAAGGCCGAGCTTTTGAATTGGAGCCTGAGACCTTTTTATTAAACGAGCTTTTATACAAGTCCAAGCCTTGATCCAACAATCAATTTTAGACATGTAAGTTCAGGCCTTCACGAGCCGAGCCAAAGGCCCCTGGCTCGTTTAGCACCTCTAGATGGAATTCAAAATAAAGCGCAATGAGTATTGGAGAGTCGAAAAATGTCAGAATATCGGTGAGTGTCGAAAAGTATTGGATACGATACGTTAGAAATTTTGAAGTGTCGGTACTTCATAGCTTAACATAACTGAATAACGTAAATATATATATATATATATATATATGGGAGGGATTATATTTACAACCCAAATAGTTTACAAACTCTTACAACCATATCTTAACCGTTGATTTTCGCCAATCAACAGTTGTCATTTATTATGAATTAATAATTAATTAATAAATTTAATTTGCGAAAATCTTAACCGTAGATTGATGGAAATCAACGGTTAATATATGGTTGTAAGAAGTTGTAAACGAAAATAGGTGGTAAATATAACATTCCCCTATATATATACATCATAAATTTATAACTGCTAAAAAAAATATTTCCTTTTTTGAATTGAAGAAATTATAAATATTAAAACACCATAATTATTCTGCAACCACTATTAATTAACCGTCTAAAATTTGGAGGAAAAAAATAACATAGATATCCAAACTTTTTGTGCATAATTTTTTTTTCTTGACGGCTAAATACTTTATTAAGTTCTCGTAACAGGAAGGATCTGTTTACAAATATTTACAAATTATGCTATATATTCATAAAAATATACTAAATTTGTAATAATTTAATTTTTATTTGTAAATATAACTTTCACTTTCTTATAAATATAAAAAAAATTAAGACTTTTACAAATCTTTTATGATTATGGCCGTATTTACTTCGACTTCCTTAACACGTTACTTTATATTTTTTTCCCCTAAAGTGACCTACGTTTTTTTTTTTTTTTTTTTAAGGGAAGCAGTTGCACAGAAGCATCATGGTTACATCATCTAACGACTTCATTTGTTGATGGCAAATGTCGTTTCCCCACAAATTGATTCTGTCATATCTTATATTTCCCCCTCTTTTTTGTGAAATATTTTTTTTTTTCATACATTTCGTTATGGTAGAACAATCTAGAAACTCGGCTGCCTTTCCATTTTATAATAATATTCTTTAACTATCACCAAAAAAAAAAAAAAAAAAAATTCCCGTCTGTTTATTACACAAATTATTTTTGTCTCACGAATACAAATAGTCAAATACTCAACATTAGTTAAAAGGAAAAGTGTGTATAATTTTGAAGGATGTAAAGTTGTGTCATTTTAAGAGAGAGAAAGAGATAGATAAAGGAGGAGAGAGAGTTGACAAAAAAATAAAGTTGTGAGTCCCACCTCTTTGTGAGAGTGAAAGGATGTAAGTTGTGTAATTTAAATGTATAGACACTTTTCCCTTAGTTAAAAACGTCAAAGTAATTTCCCATAACGGGACAGTAGATAAATGAAAATACTCTATCAGGAAACCTTTCCACAATGTTACATTACAAATGAAAATTATACAGATTAGTTTTGTATAATATAATAATAATAATAATAATAATAATAATAATAATAATAAATTATATTTTTTTCCTCATAATATATTACTGTAATTTCAAAAAAAAGAGAGAGAACAGAAATATACCCACAGGCACAGTGAGAATCCAATAATAATCCATTGGTCTACAAAGACAATTGCATTTAATATATTTTTATTTCTAATTGGACTTTTCAAAAATAAACCAAGAACAAATAAAAAATCTCAATAATTATTAATTTTATATAGTTAAATATGTATATACGTTTATTAAAACCTATTTTCTTGATTTTTATAAATAGGTAAAATATCTCCATTTTTTCTTGTAAAGTAAATTTTCTTACTTGTTTGTATAAACTATAAAGTGAAATTTTCATTTCACTGCCATCAACTATCAAGTTCGTTAACAATTAACTCAAAACCAAAATGGCTAAGTTCATTTGGAAGGTTTGTATCCTTAAAAACGCAGTTTCAACTTTCAACCCTTCTAGTTTTGTGTTTGACACGTCTCAGCACAGAAACGGCTAGAAACCCGAATATTCTACGATTCCAATTTCCAATTTTCAATGGGAGTGAATTTTTCTCGTGTAAAAAAGTGGTCATGTTATTTGATCACAATTACTCATTTAAAAATTATACATTTTTTTTTATCTCATCAATAAGTGATTGTGATCAAAGATCACATAAACACTTTTTACACTACAGGATCCCTCCCGTTTCAGTTGCCTCGTCTCACGCAGTGTTTATTAGTTATTACCATTTGACAAATCAGGGGTAACCCTCGGTTTTCATCCTTCCATGTAAATCAGCGGCCAGAAGCTACTTTAACTTTTTCCCCAAGCACAACGGTCACGTGACTGTGACCCTTGTTCTTGTTACACAACCCTTTTAAATACCCCTGGCTAACCCCTTGTTTTCCTCACCAAATCACACTCTAATTACTCTCTCTGTCCCTGCTAATCTCACTCTCATACAAACACTTTCTCGTCCGCCATTTTTCAACTCCGCTTCTCATGGGTATTCTATTCTTCTTCCCCAGCTTCTTCAATTTTTTTATTTTTTATTTTTGTGTGAAAAATACTTGTATAGCATGTTTGGTTTCTTACTTATAACTCCAAAATGATAGTTTGACCAAGAGTTATTAAGAGAAACATGCAGTTAATATATCGTTTTTCTATTGTGTTTTTCTTTTCTGAGCAGCATCAGACAAGAAGATTAGGATCGGAATCAATGGTAATTTATTTTTTTCGTGTGACACACAATGCTTATGTTTTTTGGTTTTTGGTATTTGTGTTTTTGTTTGTACTAGGATGTTTTTCATATACGAATTCTCTGAATGCAGGATTTGGAAGGATTGGCCGTTTGGTAGCCAGGGTTGCCCTTCAAAGAAATGATGTTGAACTCGTTGCCATCAATGATCCTTTCATCACCACTGATTACATGGTAAAAGCTTTTTCCTTTGACTCTGTGATCTGTTTGGAAAAGAAAAATAAAAAAGGCTCCAACTTTGCATTTGGGAGTGGTAGATTTTGCTAACAATGTGCGTTGTTTTTTTTTTTAATTTTGATTGCTCTCTCAGACATACATGTTCAAGTACGACACTGTTCATGGCCAGTGGAAGCATTTTGATCTCAAGGTGAAGGACTCTAAAACCCTTCTCTTTGGTGAGAAGCCCGTCACCATTTTTGGAATCAGGTAATAATTCTTGTGTTTAGATCTATGATTTGTAATTGCAGACACTAGGGATTTCATTCCCCTTTTTTTCTATTTCATTTATCTTGTTGCTCTATGTTTCTGAATATCAGGAACCCTGAGGAGATTCCATGGGGTGAGGCTGGCGCTGATTTTGTTGTTGAATCAACTGGTGTGTTCACTGACAAGGAAAAGGCTGCTGCTCACTTGAAGGTTCGGCGAGATCAATGATTCTTAATGCTTCTATTGATTATTTGTTATGGATCATGTCTTTTGGTTTATCAAAACTATGTTCTATTCCCTGGTGTTTGATTTTGTTTTGAATACTAATTGCTGTGTGTTTTTTTTTTTTAATGAAAAAAGGAAGTAAAATCTTAAATTAGATGTTTATGAAGAAAGATTATTCAATGATTTAAGATGGGTATAAATTGGATTTTGGTTGTGATTAGGGTGGTGCTAAGAAGGTTGTCATTTCTGCCCCTAGCAAGGATGCACCAATGTTTGTTGTTGGTGTTAACGAGAAGGAATACAAATCAGACCTTAAAATTGTTTCCAATGCTAGCTGCACTACCAATTGCCTTGCTCCCCTAGCCAAGGTATTTTTGTTTGATATCCCTTGTGACATTTTTGTTGATATTTAAAAAAAAAAAAATTCAAAAAAAATTATTAATCTTAATTTTTCGCAGGTTATCAATGACCGATTTGGAATTGTGGAGGGTCTTATGACCACTGTTCACGCCATCACAGGTTCGCGGTTTAGCTATGTTATTTTGAATCAATCTCTGATCATTTTTCAAATTAACATGGTATTCATTATCTACTTTTTGTGATGAATCAGCTACTCAGAAGACTGTTGATGGTCCATCAAACAAGGACTGGAGGGGTGGAAGAGCTGCTTCCTTCAACATAATTCCCAGCAGCACTGGAGCTGCAAAGGTAACTATAATATGTAAATTGATTCAGCATTTGATTTGGATGGTGGAAATTTTATTCCAAAGCTTTTGTTCTTTCTGACCATTGAATGTTGAATTTGTGACAAACAGGCTGTAGGAAAAGTTCTTCCATCGCTTAATGGTAAATTGACTGGAATGTCTTTCCGAGTCCCTACTGTGGATGTTTCAGTTGTTGACCTCACTGTCAGGCTGGAGAAGGCTGCAACCTATGACCAGATCAAAGCTGCTATCAAGTAAATTTTAAACTTTTTGAAGTCTTCTTTTAGTCCTTACTTTTAGTAAATTGAATTGGGTTTTCCTCCTATCTCAATCTTTTCTTGTTGAAATAACAATATCCAGGGAGGAATCAGAGGGCAAATTGAAGGGGATTTTGGGTTACACTGAAGATGATGTGGTGTCTACTGACTTTGTTGGCGATAGCAGGTAATGTTGATTTCTGAAGCAAAGTTTGCTTCTTTGACTGCTTTTATTGGTGAAAGATAAACTATCATGATCAGTTTTTGGTGTTCTCTCTAACTATACTTACAATGTTGGATATTGCTTTCATATGCAGGTCTAGCATATTTGATGCTAAGGCAGGAATTTCATTGAACAACAACTTCGTGAAACTTGTTTCGTGGTATGACAACGAATGGGGTTACAGGTAACTTCCCTAAACCTTGCTGTCTTAAACAGGTCTTGAATAGGATGACGAATTTTTTTTTCTTTTTTATTTTTTTCCCCTCAATCCTTTGTTGTTACTCTACAGAGTTTTACTGGTAATAAGGACGTTTTGTTTCTTTGTTTGCAGCACCCGTGTTGTTGATTTGATTGTCCACATTGCATCTGTGGCTTGAGGCTGAGCTTGGATTGTGCATCATTACACCATTCTAAATTTTCTCAGTCAAGGTTATTTTGGTGTAAATTCGGAAGTGTGTTTCGGAATAAATACTTGTGTTATCGTGAGTGATATCAGTGACACAAAGTGCCTAGTCTTTTTTGTTTTTCTTGTTCGTGTCAGTACAGGGCCTTAGGTTTTTTCTCCTCTTGTTTAAGAGATGGATGGAACAATTTTATTTCATTATCATAATCATCTCAATATAAGCAATACTTTGTTTTCCGTTTCTCTTTGCGACCATACGATTGTTCTCGATTTTTGTTTCGATTATATGCGAATATTGCCAGAGTTTTTTTTTAGCAGAATATATTGCCAGAGTTATACCCGTTGACATGAGCATATTGCACATAATCTTAATAAGAGAATAAATTTTGTTTCAATGGATTTTTTTTTTTTTAATTTTAATGACTAAATTTAAGTTCTAAAATTAATGGTGCTAACAATTAATAGTTTGCAGCACTGAGTTGAAAGTGGATGCCGTTTTATATTAGCAAGGCTTTATTGGGATTAGTTTTGGGTGGAAGAACAAGCCTGTTCACTAAACAGGGGTTTTTACGTCTTTAATTTTCTTATCTGGTATTCGATCTTCGATATTTGTCAATGGAGATCTTTTAGTTTCGTGGGGGATCATTAGGTTGGAATATAGACCCCTTTTGGCGAGCTCACGAGTTTATTATTTTTTTCCTCCCTTTTTGGCGAACTCACAAGTTTATTATTATTTTTCTCTATGTGAGTGTCGTGAGTCATGTGTGACCCCCCTTTTGACACATTCAGACAATTATGTCAAGTGACACAATTCTAATACGATAGGCAGTTTTATTATTATAAACTTTGGAATGCTATAATTTTTTATTCGAGTATTTAAATCTGATAATTTTTTTTTTATTTCACATAATATTTCATAATTTAGGCAATAACACCTCATTTAGGCAATAACATCGCAATCACAAGAGTTTAAATCCAGAACTTCCAAGTTCTTTCAACTATCCAACAATAACATATAATGACAATGGTTTCCTCTCCATCAATGCGCATTGGCAACAACGGATAAGAACATTTCTTCTTAAGTCAACGGATAACAACATTTCTTCTTAAGCCCTGAAGTACTTATCTTGTTGCTGAAAAAATTGTTTGCTTAGCAGCTAAATATTCTTGTTATTTTGGAACTATTGTTGCAAATTTGAACTATGTTCGTGGAAGATAAAATATGTCAAATGAGGCGTCATTGCGTAGATCTCGAAAAGTTATGTGAAATTGAAAAAGAAAATTATATGATTTAGACACTGAGTCAAAAATTATGGCATTCCAAAATTTTACGCTAACGAAACTGCTTACAGTAACAAGATTGCATCCCCTTCTCGCGAAACTCACAAGTTTTTTTTTTAGGTGAGTGGTGTAAGTTGTAACCCAACTGAGGGACTCGCAATGCTGTGCCAAGTGGCACAATCCAAACCTAGCCAAGATGTTATCGTCTATCCATGCTTTGTTCCTTCTTTTTCTACTGCTAGGTTTCTCCATTTTTTTTTCCTACTGCTAGGTTTCTCCATTTTGGCTCGCTCTTTTTGTTCGTTTTCTTTTCTTCACAAAAAAAAATTTTAAAATTAACTACTGTCTCACATAGGTGTTGCTGCAACTCTAACAGACAAAAATTAAATTAATTAAAATCTCAACAAAACTGATTTGAAAATCGAGGAAGCGAAACAAATCAAGAGTTTCTACCTCTTCCCACCAAATTTGGCAAATATCATATGTTTTTATCCTAAAATATGCATGTGTAATTAATAATTTGTAGATATTAGACATAGTGTTTAGTGGTTAATGAGCAGTGATTAGTATTATAATAAATAAAATGTAAGAAAAAACGTTATTATTCGTTGTTTCCTGTGCGTATTGATAGAGAGGAAACCACTATCATTATTTGTTATTGTTGGATAGTTGAAAGAACTCGAGAGTTTCTAGATTTAAACTTTCTTGTGATTGTGGTACCATTGTTATAAATTCGAACTATGTTTATGAGAGATTAAATATGTCAAATGAAGTGTCATTGCGTAAATCTCAAAAAATTATGTGAAATAAAATAAAATTATTTGATTTGGATAATCGAGTCAAAAATTATGCATTTCAAAATTTTACGGTAACAAGACTGCTTACAATATTGAGATTGCGCCACTTGGCACAATCGTGTGAGTGCCTTAAGGAGAGATCACAACACTCACCTAAAAAATAAAAAACATGTGAGTTCCTCAAAGGAGATCGCGACACTCAATCCCGCTAGGGTCCCCACAGAACTAAAAGACCCTCCGTTAATAAATACTGAAAATTGAATACCGAATAAGAAAATTAAAGACTTAAAATCCCTATCTGGTCGAAGTGCCGAAGAACAAGCCTTCTAGACTGGTGGGTTATTATTTTCGGAAAAAGAACTAATAATTGTTAAATGCAAAAAAAGTGCATAGATAAAAACTTTATGAATTAATCTTTCAGAATTTAAAGTTGATGGACTAATTTGTAATACAACCAATTTTATTTAATACAATAATATGAGAAAGTTATATTTATAATTTTTTTATTTATAAATTTTTACAAATTATATTATGTATTATGAGTAGTATATTCCAGCATATAATATATTATCTCTAATATATAATATAATTTATAAAAATTTGTAAATTTTTTTTTTATAAATATAACCCTCATCTAATAATATACACTTCTTATTTTTTTCGAGGAGTGTGCTAGAACGGGTAGGTTCCGGTTGTGATTTCAGGTCCATCATCCAAAGAACAAAAACTATGCCTTAAGAAATACAATACCCATGCCGTTACCTATTGGGCCAATAGCCTCGTAGGCGGCAGCTATTCGTGTGTAGTCTCGATGGGTTCGTTTCGTCCAATTTGTGTAAAAAAAAAAGTTCTCCGTTCCATGGGAGACGAGACGACCTTGGTTTCTTTTGACCCTTGAGGACTGATTGGGCACCTATTTTTTTTTTTTTTTATAACATTAAGGGGCGAAGCCCCAAACAAAAGCAAACAAACAACCAGAAACAAAAAATAACTATTCAGGGTCTATATTCCTACAAGAGGAGATTTCCTGAAGATCGTGATCAAATAACTGAGCAAGGTGAAACGGCATAATTCTATGACTCCAGAATCCAGTATCTTTGTGAAGAGCAAACTTGACTAACCAATCTGCACAGGAATTAGCTTCTCTTGGAATATGAGAAAGTGTTACCTCGATTGGTCACCTATTTGATTGAACATGGGGCGCAGATATTAAATTTTATGATTTTATTTTGTTTTTTTACTTTTAAAATTGAGGACCACTTTTTCAAAGCCTCTTTTGAGAAGTAATGCTAACCCATGTCTTAAAAATCTAAAATGACACCGCGATCTATAAACTAGGAAAACATTTATCTTTTTTCACGGTGTTTAAAGTTGCATTAAAAAAGACTTTTCTATTATACAGAGAGAGAAAAAAAAGGCTGAGGGATGTACTTTTCTATAAACTAGTAAAACATTCTATTGCACAGAGACTTTTTTTTTTTTACTTTCTCTCTTTTTGTTTAGTTGAATAAAATCTTTGATTTACAAAGAGAAAAAAGAGAGGCTTAGGGATGTACTTTGCGCTAATTTACCCTCAATTTCTTTTAGTGCCGGATTTCGGTCATTACAAACAAAAAATTATTTTAATTCGGTCATTACTTTGGTTAATCACATAATGTCAACATAAATTTAATTTTTTAATAACAAAAAATAACATCAAAATAAGTTTTCTGTATAAGAATCTTAGATTAAATTAATATATTGTATAGTTAAAAGCTAAATTAATATTGATTTTTATTAGAAAAAGAATAATACTTTTATATGATTAAAGATATGTATGGCAGTGTCTACTAAAAGAAAAAGAAAAAGTCTACTAAAAAAAAAAAAAAGATATGTATGGCAGAGGCTTGTGTCACAAGATATGTTCAACCTTTTCTTCAATACTGACTTGTACTCAAGCCTCAAGGCGGGCTAGAAATATTGCAAATGGTGTCCCCTAGAACACATTATTTGGAGTCACTTGCAGGCGTGGAGATGGAGAAACGCCATTCTCCGTGAGACAGAGCCGCAAGAGAATTTATACCACTTGGAAACCATTAAAAATCAAGCCGGGGAGACTTGTGATGCATTTCCAGGTATAGTGCTTATGGTGGGATTTTGAGCGTTTGGTACGCGGGATTCTTTGGGATTCCTGTCAAACTGAATTTTTCTAAATTTTTAATTTCTAGATATTATCATAAACTGAATTCAAAAATTATATTTTTGAAATCGAGATTCCCGAACAAATAAAAATTTCTCCTGTACCAAACACTTAAGGGCTATTCGTATCGGATTGGGCATCGAAATGCATTACAGCAGAGTTGTTAGCTAGCTTAGGAGGATGGTTGGAGAAAAATAATTCTGCAAATGCTATAACTTTACTCACCAAAGATGGTGATATAGTCCCTTAGTCTCATTTTATTACTCGCATAAGCTTGCGTATACCTATAGGGAAGGTAACACCATTGCAGATTGATTGGCAAACCTCCCTCAGATGAAACAGGATGATTTCAAGATCTTTTTGTTCCCCCCACCAGACCTTCAACGGCTGTTCTTTGCTAACTTTGCTTCTGTTGGTAATTATAGTTCGTGCGGCAGTGTTTTTCCCTTGCATACCAAAAACAAAAAAATAAATCAAAATTAAAATTAATTTTTTTAATAAAATTAAAATAATGGTGTAATTTTTAGAAGAGGAGTTTACTAGCTTTATTTTGCCATTAGCTATCACTGGCCGAGTTTCAAAATTACATTGCCGGTTTGGCAGGTTTTATTTTCATATTTTTTTTCCCTGAGCACAAATTTAGACGAACATAATTTAATAAAAGCTTTTATCATAAAAACATTTTTTTTTGTAATGAATAAAAATAGAAAAAGCTAAAACCTCATAGGAGAGTTTTTTAAAAAAAAAAAAAAAAAAACTGTTATGAAATGAATTTTGTTTCACCTCCCTACCTTTTCATCTCCTTGCCTTTACATATTATTCATTAAGAGTAGTGTAACCACTTGTATCATCTTTTTGGCTATTAACCCTTTCTCTACTCTTCTTTAGCTTATAAATGTTATTGTAAACTTGTAAGGTGAGATGAAATTGAATAAAGTCTAGCACAAGTTCTCGTGTATTCTCTTTCTATATTTCT